CCTTCTTGTTTCTATGGAAACTGTTTTGCGTTTGGCGCAGGAGTTCTTGTGGGGTGTGGGTGTGTGGGTGTGTGGGTGTGTGAAGGAAAGCATATATCATTTGGCTTCTTTTCTGGGGCATCTGGCGCTCTCCTTCTGTCTGTATGCCCTTTACATTTATGGATGGATGGATGTACATTAACATGTGTTGTGTGTTGCTCTATCACCTGAGAGTTGACCCAGGGGTTTTTTTTTGGGGGGGGGGGGGGGGCATGCGATGGACAGCAATTATGCATTTGTTCCTATTTCACAAGCGATTATGACAATTGATGGATTCGTAACATGCTCTGACCACAATTTATTACTACCAAATATTGCCTCGTTCAACACTGCAACCTGTTGCGCGAGGCCATCAAGGAGACCTCCTTGCCTCCCACCATCCTTGGCCATCAACAACCCTAAAACTCGGATTTTGAACGTCTTGTCCTCCTTGAGACCGGACGACAGGATGATTATCATCATTATCATCATTCCTGCCCATCTTTCAACCGAACAATTGAGCTTAGAACATGCCACCCCAGTTCTAGCCCTATCATGATCCCATCCTTGAACGTGGTAGAACAAAGGAAAGTCTGAGAAAAAAAGACGGTACAAGGCCAGGACGCGGGCCGCCACCGCAACGTCTCCTCGAGCCTTTTGCCCGGTTGCGGTCGTGAAACCTCTGCCTCCCAGCCACGCACTGGAATGTTACCTATCCCGGATACGGTACTTGATGGTGTAGGTTAATCCCGCATGCTAGAACCTGAGGTCACAGTAGGACGGTGATGCAGCCAGGGGCGAGCATTCTCGCTGTGCGTGCCTCTCATTTTTCCTTCTTGCCCCCTCCTCAATCCGCTTTCTCTTTTAGCCGACAAGGTGACTGAGGCCGTTGTGCCATGGTCTCGAGCACAGGGCGGCCCTCCTTTGGCGTAGTTTACCTGCTTGCCTCAGAGTCTCGGAGAGCCGGTATATATTAACAATATGTCGCACAAGGTTTAAAGTGTCGTAAAGAAGGCCGAATAGAGCGCACAACTACGGCCAGATGCACGTAGTCGCTGCAGATGTGTGGTGAGGCGTTGAAATGTGTCTCGTCGGCATAAAGACGCCGTGATCAAAGATCTTAGAGCTCTCTTTCATGTTCGGGCCAAGAACGACCTGTCTCAGGATGGCAAGGGGGTGATATCCGAGATCATGTTGCTCAAGGTGTGCGAGACAGTTGCAAAAACAAAGCTCACGCAAGACACTTTTCAGCCACGTGCTGACTGGTGCCCGATACCCTGTGTCTTGCCTGATGTGTCCGTTATATGTAGATGATGCACACTCTCGCCTAATTTCTTGTCTGAGGACAGATGCGGTGTCACGAGCTCAGGATTCGTTCGTATCACGGCACGAGAGAAAGAGACTGAGGAGACATGATATATCTCCCTTCGGTTGGTGTGACAGAACTGTGATCATGGTGTGCATGTCGTGTGAGATTAACTTTGTACATTTTCATATCATGATCAGCCAGAAGGTGAGCAACACTCATGTAATTTCACATTGCGTTCACAGGTTTCAGTCCCTATAGATGAATCGTCATGAGAACGATCAACGATCAGGCCGACATACCAAGCTGAGAAAGGCTGACCGATTGTCATCATCAAGATTCTAATTAACTAGTGTCCCCATATGAAGTACAATCTATCATTATCTTCAGCTTTCCCTCCACATTACGCCTCGATGCCTACTACGCCCCAGCAAAGCCAAATCTCTAATACATTCTAGCTCATTTCCAAGACTGTTCAACGACTTATCCACCACCAAATTAATTACCCAGTCTCCTTCCCTCCAGCACATCTCACCCGAACTTCTCTTTCGAACATCTCCATTAGGGCACCTGCTTTCATTACAGCATGGCAGCGGCTATGAACCCGATCAGACCCAGGCCAGCACCGGCGTGGTTCGCAACAGCACCAGCCGTAGCATAGGCTGGCGTTGTACCGGCAGCACCGGCAGCGGATGTGGCACCCTCGGCACCGGCAGCAGAGGTGGCGCCAACAGCAGCGGCCGCAGAGGTGACGGCAGTGGTGGCTGCTCCCGTGACGACCGACTGGATGCTGCCCTCGGCGGCCTTGGTCACCGTGGTCTGGGCGGATGTGGTCGCGCCTGCCTGGGAAGACGTGGTGATTGTGCAGGGGCAATTGGTGATGGTCAGGGTTTCCTGTTGGATACATGTCAGGTTGTGTGTCCAATATCTGACGAGAGATTCCCTCTGGCGCGATCGGGATTTCAAGACTTACATCATAGCCAGTGGCAGTGTAGAGGACACCCTCCCAAGTAATAACGGTGGGGCTGGGACAAACAGTGATGAATTCGGCGACAATCTCGGTGTACCAGATCCAGGCTGTGAAATATGTGTTAATTACGATGCTCTTTCTGTGTGTGTGAGAGACGGATATATGGGTGGGAGAAGACAAATGTCTTTCCCAAAGGGGTACGGAAACACCAGTGGTATATAGACTTACTGCTGTTGGTAACGGGAGTCACAGTGCTGCTCCAGCTGGAAGTAGAAGACTTGCTGTGCGAATGTGTAGTGCTTGTAGTAGATGTAGAGGTAGAGTTGAGAAGTTGTCGGCGGGCAGGGTTCTCCGCCGAAGCCAGGCCGGCCAAGGCGGCGATAGCAAGTGTAAACTTCATTCTGTTTAATTGGGTGGTGGGGTAGAAAGATATCTTTTCTTTTATATTCTTTGTTTGCTTTGGTTTTTTTTCTTTGCTTTTTCCTGAACGAGTGAATTGAACTTTCTCAAGATACAACGAGAGTATTTTTGGAAGACGAGATGGCTAGAACAAACATGATCATTCCAAAGATGTCTTGGAGGACTGTCAGTCCTTTATAGGCGAACACTAACTGGGCATTCCGTTACTCCGTTTGCAGGAACCTCGTCTAGGAGGCGAAGTCAAGGTGTAGGCAACAAGAGTGTTGTGACGGTGAAAACGTAGCTTGTGGCCGGATGTAGATGCAGCGAGGGCGGATCTATCTCGCACGAAGACGGGTACTATAAAATTTCGTCAACAGGCTTCAGTCAGTTGCCTAATCCGGCATACCTATACCCCAAGGCTACTCAAGTAGGCATGAAGTCACTATTCGCCATGTTAATCACTAATATGCATTCCAGCACAACTAGTAGGCTCCGTGGCAAAGTTTTGGTGAGCCGAGATTCGAAATCCAACACTCGACAAGGTTTAATCTGACGGCTTAGAACCATGCAGGTTGATATCCCACAGTAATCCTTTTCGGTTTCAAACATTAATAGTCGCATATATACATTGTCCAATATGAACCGAGCTGCTCTTATACCCATATTACAATTCTGCGTGAACTGAGCCCTCGAAAGTCTACCCAACAAGACTCACGTGCTTATATACAACCTCAAACCGATGGTGTTATACTCACCAGATAATGTCGAGTCGTTCTTCCAAAGTGATGTCGTGATGAGGTGATGTCTCATGAGGGTCTCCCGCTCTTAGACACCGGTTCCATCCCGCCACCCGCATTCCAGAGTCGACCACCTTTCGCAGCTGCTAGCGAGAAAATAACAATAACAAAGCGCTGAAATTTCTTCAGGCGGCAGCACATGTGCTGATCCAGGAACCCGTGCACGCCATGTCACTAAGAATAGATCATCGTCGTGTGGACTTGTTCCATCACTTAACCAAAAACAAACAAAAGAACGAGTCATCCAGTCCTAGTAGAAAGCGCCCCAAGATGGCTCAGGTCCAAGAAGAAAAATTCTTGAGGAATCTAAGGTTAAAATGGCACGTTTCATCGTCTCCAACCCGCTTCTGGAAACGTCTCGTTGGCTGCCAAGTGCCCACGAGTGATGAAAGCGTCAACATCACAGCCTTGCGTCCCGCTGCTGCTCAGCCACAATCTGGGTGAACTCATCACTGCAGGGAATATCGTAGTTCGAATACAGGGTAAAAATTCTTGTTAAAATTTTGAATGCTTGAACAATGCTCTGTTTTATCCCGGGGATCTTTTACACAAGGTTTTGACTATGGTACCGATGAGAGTTCCCGTTCACCCTACGATCCAATGCTTCGGGTTCCGGCCCCTTGACTGCTTCTTCTGTTAAGTGGCATCATCCTAGTTAATAAACGCTATCCTGGGCTCGTCGCTGCAAAGGAGGAATCCGGGCACGTGCCAAAGGTACATGACAGTAGACTTGGACCACCAGGCACCACGGTTTAATTAGTGTTTTTATGGATACATAGTCTTCGTTGAAACCATAAACACACTGATATTTGTTTGATGATATTATAGCTTTCGAGGAATCTTGGTCTCTACTGGGCATTTTCCAAACTTGAAAAAGTAATTATCAGAAAGACTATGTAGGTCCCTTGAAACCAGATCTCCTCTCTCTCTCCAAGATTCCGTGGGCAGCTAAACATCCAATAATTTGACTGAGAAGAGTATTTCTTTTATCCTTCGAGAAAGCTGGAGCCAGATTTAAGGCATATTATATCTTATTGTCTAGCTCTCAGAAGCCATCAGGCCGCTTTCTAGACTTCATATGTTAAGACCCAGTCTCCTAACATGTCAGTCGGTAGCTCTGACTGGTTGTTAAATTCAAGTCACGTTTAGTTAGACCTTTAGCAAATATAGCATAATTACAATATAAGGGCTTTGTCCGGCCAGGGAGGTATGGAAGAAAGATTTGTACATATAGATCGGGGCTTTGTCATCATATACATAAGTAACTTGCTAGAGGAAGAGGACAATGCATTGTGAGAGAAATAGACTCGGCACCTAAGTCAAGTACGCATCTCGGCCATTCTTTGCCTAAATGGGGAGTGAATACAAACACAAAAGGACATTAGATCATCAAAGGGCAGCAACAGAGTTTTAATCCACCAGGCTGTGTCGGAGGCGAAATTTTACCACGACCTCGTCTTTAACCCACCATGCACGAAGGAAGTTTGTTACCAAGTATGATTGAAACTGATCACTCGGAATTCCCAGTCGGCTTCTGAGCGCACACAAATATGAGACTTATACGAACTACTTTGGCCGTTTTGGTAGCCATAACAGACGCCCTGGTCTGGGAAGATGGAACTGGAAAGCTACCTGCCATGGGGTGGAACTCATGGAACACTTATGAATGCAACATCAGCGCTACGCTTTTCCTCGATCAAGCTCAAGCCATGATTGACCATGGATTCCTGGTAGGAGGGAAATCTTGTGGACCCATTACTTTTCGGGTTTAACAGTGGCTGATCTGAACACTAGGATAGTGGCTACAATTACGTGAACCTCGACGATTGCTGGTCTCTCGTTACCGGCCGCGACAAGGTGACCAAACAGCTGGTTCCAGATCTTGACAAGTTCCCAGATGGGATTTCAGGTCTGGCAGATCAAATTCATGATATGGGCTTCAAGATCGGAATCTACAGCAGCGCAGGAACGGAGACCTGCGCAGGATACCCTGCTAGCATCGGATACGAGAGCATCGACGCAGCATCTTGGGCGGCCTGGGGCATTGATTGTGAGTTTTTGCTTTGAGAATCGCCTTTTGCATGTGATTAAGGAGGAGAATCAACATTGCTGACTCGATGTTAATCCCAGACCTCAAGTACGATAACTGCAATGTACCGGCCGACTGGACAGACGAGTGTCCAGCCTGTGTCGCCAGCATGGCTTATCCCCAGCTCTACGGCAACGGGACGTGTCCTTCTGAAGACGATACATGTCCCTCCGGCTATAACTACACAGCGTCCAAAACGGCCGAGAGATACCGGGTCATGCGCGACGCCCTCACAGCCCAGAATCGCACGATCCAATACAGTATTTGTGTATGGGGCTATCAAGGGGTAGAAGAGTGGGGAAACCAGACAGGTAACTCTTGGAGAATCAGTACCGATATCGAAGGTCAGTCAGCTGTATTGTCTGTTTCTCTTCTTGGCCACTTGTCTAGGAGGTGGGATGCTATCTGAGAATCCATTCGAGAGAAAGCAAGCACAACTAACAACCAAAAAGCGAGATGGTCCTATATCACTTCTATCCTCAACATGAACACCTTCCAGATGGACCGAGTTGATTTCTGGGGCCACAACGACGCAGATATGCTTGAAGTCGGTAACCTTGGACTCACTTACGCAGAGGCTCGCTCACACTTTGCGTTCTGGGCTGCCATGAAGAGTCCTCTGATTATGAGCGCAGACCTCACGACCATGTCCAAGGAATACATCGACGTGCTGAAGAATGAGTACCTGATCGCCTTCAATCAAGACGACGTGTATGGGGCGGCTGCAAAGCCATACAAATGGGGGTATCTGCCGGATTACACCTGGAACGAGACATACCCGGCCCAATACTGGGCTGGCGAGAGCAAACAAGGCACACTCGTCCTCATGCTTAACACGCTAGATGTTACCAAGGATATGACGGTTGACTTCAGCGAGGTGCCGTATCTCGAGGCCAACGGAACCTATCATATTCTTGATGCTTGGTCGGGGGATTGTCTCGGTTCATTTACCAACAGCGCCACGGTCCCTGTTGCCTCACACGACACAGCTGTGTTGGTGTTTCAATACTGTGGCAAATTTTTATTATAATGATGTGATGGTATTTCTACACCGCTTAGGGGTCATAGCTGATTGGGGATCTGATTTTTGTCTATGATCAGATGCTACATCATTTTAGCTGAGTCGAGCTTGTCCCAAATATTTGCACCGTAGCACGGCCCAAGACAGCCTGTTCCTATCCTGTACATAGCTCACCCCGGTGTAGGTATGACAGAAAGCATAGAAGTGTACGAAATAATCAGGGATGTGGTTTCAAAGCATGAGTCAATTCCGAATGCTGTCTGAGGCGTAGTAATGATATCAATCAAAGTCTTCATGCAGTGGTATGTACTTAGACATGAGGCACATGCATCAATAGGAGAGAACCCTCATCCCAAGCAGCCATACGCATATGACAAGACCATCCGATAGAACACACCTCCACTGGCCCCATAGCCAATTCAACCCCAAGGCACATCAACCAGCCATCACACTACGGCCACCATCGGCAGTGACACGGGCACGGATCCGAACCTTGAGCATTCCGTTTCCAAGCTTCTTCGCTTTGCCATTGCGTTGGACATCGAGCACAGCATTCGGGGCAAAAAGCAGTGCTTCTCCGACACCAAGCTCGACAATTTGGCCGATGAGGTCCATCATAGCCTCCTTGTCGCCGCCGCTGCTGCCACACTTAGCCTCGTCTGTGGTCGTCAGTCTCAGCTTCCTGAGGCCCAGTGTCAGCCCGCTAGCGCCCACGCCCTCGCCATCCTCGTCCTCCCACTCCTCGTCGCTGTCAGTGCCACTGGCACCACCGCAGCCCTTCTCCAGCATCTTGGTAGCCTTGCTCACACCAGCCAGGTGCTTCTCCAGCGCCCGCAGCCACTCGGGGCTCGTGAAGCGGTGCACCACCGTCACAGAGCACAGGTCCAACAGCTTAGGGCTGACGGTGGGCTCCTGGGTGGAGATGATGACCCGCGCGCCCAGGTGTCGCTGCAGCCGGATCGTCGAGAGCAGCTGTTCGGTCAAGACGCTGGCCTCTCCGCTGTCGTCCATGTATTTGTGGGCCTCGTCCAGGGCGATGACGCGGCCGACGGCATTGGGGTCCTGCTCGAGGAACAGCGAGAGACAGATGTTGAAGAGCTGACAGGCGCTCTCCGAGTCGACAGTGGGGCAGGACAGGTCGACGATGGTGAGCTGACCTGGGTTGGAGGCCCAGCTGACGCCGGCGGTGGGGACCATGGTTTGCTTGACCTTCGGTTGCGTCATCTGCTGCTGCTGCTGCTGCTGCTGCTGCTTCCGAGCCATAAATGACTCGAGGGTGTCGAGGCGCTGCTCGAGGGGACCTCGCTGGCCGTCCGTCAGATCGGCCATGTCGATCATGGCACGGAAGCTATTGTAGCTAAAATTCCTGCCCGTGGCTTGCTGCTCGAGGCGCAGGTCCCTCAGGATACGCTTGACCACTTGTATGTACAGGGGCATCGTGTTGCCCGCCTTGACAGCCATCATTTCCATCATACGCTTGGTGTTGAGGTCCTTCTCGTCGATGCGCAGCTCCTCGACGGTGACATTGGGGAAGCGGGCATAAGTAGCCTTGATGGTGGCGATGTTGGTAGGCGCGCAGAGCACGCGAACGTTGATCTCGGGCCGGTCGGACAGGAAGGCTGCCTCGCAGGGGCTGCCACCTTCGTCGCCGAAGAAGGTGTCATAGTGGAAGACAATGCCAGTGAGCGGGTGCGGCAGCTCGCTGGCTTCAGAGGGAAGAAGACAGTTCTCCAGGAGACAGGAAAGCGTGTGACTCTTGCCACTGCCTTGACTGCCACAGACGAAGATGCTGGAGGGAGCAGCACTGTTTGAGCCTTTTGTTTCAGTGATGGCTCTTTTCTCATGAAGTGTAAAGGCTGCTCAAGGAGAGCTGTTGTCATAACCTCTGAAAGATGGAGCAGGAGGGATCGATCATGTACTCACACGTTGTAATGAATGATCTCTTCATTGGACTCCGCATCGCCGATGCCAGCAAGGAGACCGAACTGAGAGAATGCAGCATCGTTGGCCTGAGCAAGCTTGGAGCTGTTGACGCGGGCAGCCTCGGTCAGGATGGGGGCACCCTTGATCTCATTGATGTCGTCCTGCTCTCGGTCGCGTGGCTGGAGCAGGTTTGTCCATCGGTTGATACTCTTGCCATTGGCCATGGTGCTTAGTGGGGGTGAAATCACGACGATGTGTTGAGCGATTGGGGATGGACAACAGAAAAAGTGAAAGCTGGATAGAGAGACTGGCACAAGTATTAATGGTAGTCTGGGTAATGGAGTTAAGAAAGCAGTCAAGAATCTGTCTCGATGTACTGACCAAGAGGTTTCTTGAAAAAAAATGAAAAAGCAGATAGAAGTACGCCTTGGACTTTAGCAGGAAGTCTGCGTATTGGCTTTGAGGCTTCTTGAGCTGCAGGACTCAGCCAAGTGTGAATGAGGCGCGTTGTCTATGGGGGAAAGCAACAAAGCGCGGCAGACAGTAAACACGCAGACGCGTTTTCAGTGGTGCTTCCTTTTTGCCTGTCTTTGAAGCTGGCTCTCTGTGATGGAGTGGGCCGGGTATGGGTTCTTGAGTTACAGGTCATAAAGACAAACTGCCCAAATCAACTTGAAGGCAGAACAAATGTTCCAACCAAGGCAGCAAGCAGGTCTTGGGGAGCAGTACAAGAGAAGAAGAAGGTACACGATAGCCTCAGTCCAAAATAATTTCATAAAAGATTGATCCACTTTATTCAGAAGAGGATATCCCAAGTGCATGTTGTAAGGAAGGGATAGGCCAGGCTGGCCATGCTCGAGAGGATGGGGGGGTTTATTGGTAGCTATATGTAGCCACTCCCTTGCTAAAGTGTTCAGGCAGTTCTCCCATCAAGCAGATTATACTATGCATCAAACAGCTGAAGAATATTTCAACTTCCATTGGGATAGCTTCACATGAACAGTAGCATACAGTGGCCACCAGAAAGTGTCTGACTAAGTACTTCCTGAAAGAAATCTGCTTACCAATGGCTACCCGCTTACTGTGCCAGTCCTTGTCTACCCACATCATCATTTTCCATGGACAGCTCTTGAATAGAAAGTGAGACAGCAAACCCAACAACAAAAAACCCCGTAAAGACCAGCCAGACAACTTGAAAGGAGCGCGTGTAGACGGCAATTACCGCACTCATCGTTTCCCAAGACACCACCCCAGACAGTTCCCGCAGGTGCGGGATGAAACCAACAGCCTGGCTTGCGTCTTTAAGAACCTCCAGAGAATCAGGCAGTGTCATGGCCGCGGTAACAGCGTTCATCCTCTGCTGAAAGACGGAGCTGAACACTGTCGACGCCATGGTCAACCCCAGCAGTGCTCCAAAGAGGCGAAAGATGACCAGCATCCCGGCCGCAATACCTACGTCGTCGACATGGCTGACACTAGCTTGTGTAGGGAAGGCCGTGACTGTCAGGACCGTACCGACGCCGACGCCCATGAACGCTTGGTAGATATAGGCCTCCGTGGTGGACGTGGTTTCGCGCACCAGATAGAGCAGGCCGATGAAGATTGTGCTTAAAATCCACCCGACCCAGAGAACCAACCGGTACTGGCGGATCTTGATGACGACGACCCCGGAGATGGCACTGAAAACGATCGTCACGCCACAGTATGGCAGTGTTGCTATGCCTGTTTCCAGTGGTGTGTGGAGATAGACGGCTTCGTAGAAGAGAGGTAGGTACTGGGAGATGGTGTACATGAGCAAGCCGTGGATGGTGCCAGAAATTAGGGCCGCGTTGGCGGTTCTCGTGCTGAATATGCGATAGGGGAAGACTGGCGATGCAGGTCTGCCCTCGTACCAACCCAGGATGCCGAGGAGCAGCAGGCCTATGATCAACGGGAAAAGTGTCTGCCATGCAGACCAAGGGAAAAGGGCATTGGCCCAGGACAATGGCAAGGCCAGGCACGTGCCGCCAGTAGCGAACAGCAGCATGCCGATCCAGTCCAGGCGCTCGAGCTTCTGACGGAGGTCTGAATTGATGGCCTTGATGTTCAGGAAGACAAAGGTGAGCAAGAAGCAGATGGCGAGGAAGGGGAGGTTGAACCAGCCCAGCCAGCGCCAGGTGACATATTCACTAAACGTGCCGCCCAATATGAGACCGAGGACAGCTCCGGTGGCATTGAAGACGGCGTTGACCGCCATGTAGAGCGGGCGTTCCCTGAGGGTTGTCACGTCTGAGAGGATGATGACCTGCAGCACATCCAGGCCTCCGCCGCCGAGACCCATCAGGATCCGACCCAGGATGGCGATACCCATACTTTTGGCTGAGGAGAAGACGATGGAACCGATGGTGAAGAAAAAAAGTCCGGCATATAATGGTATCTTGCGACCAAGCACGTCCGAGACACTCGAGTATACAGGCTGTGTGATGGCCACTGCGAGTGTAAAGGCAATACCGGCCCAGAAAGACTCAATCGTTGTGCCATCCAGCTCGTTTCCTATGACCTAAATAAAGGTTTTCGTGTGGGTTAGAATAGAAAAGGATAATACCATCGTCAGAGTCAAGGAGATTGGTTGACATAATTAGAGCAGAACATACCGGAATCGCTGTGGCTAAAGAGGTGGCATCGAGCGCCACAAGGAATCCAATGAGCCCGAGAAGCAGGATTGAAAAGTGGAATGATGGTGACTTTTTCCGGGCCTGTGCTGCGACACTCCCTGGTTCTTGTTGTTGTTCTTGTTGCTCTTGTTTCTCTTGATCAAGCATCAGGTCGTGTCTGGTTTCGATCTTGTTTCTCTCGGTGATTTCTTCAAGCTCAATGGAGGCCGGCCGTATTCATCTTTACTGAAGTGTCTTGTCTGGAATTTGTGTAGATGTATTTGATATTTTCAAGACAGTCGTCCGCAGGTACACCCTCCTTCAGTTCACATGTATTCAGCATGTGAGCATGAAAATTACTCCTTTGAGATACTCGTTTACCCAAATACGTCAGTAGGACCCGGCACAAGCTGTGGGAAGCCAATGATGACAAATGCGTATAAGAGAATCAACAGTCCTGGCGATTGGCCAGGACATGGGAATACTTATCAGTGTACATTCAACCCCCTGTTTCCTTCTCCTGTCAACTAACACATTACAGCTGCGGAATTGGATTCGTCCATTCTCTCCTCGCTGACGACCGGAGGACTTGCACCGGATAACGAGGATGGCGCCTCACTCTTGCAGGCTGACGAAATAGGTATTCCCCGTTCTGTTACGGAGCCGAGCAATGCAAAGTAGCGGGATATCGTGATCACAGGTTGGATGGCAGTCAAGGCTACAAGAGGCCTTCAAAACTTATCCATCCATCATGAGACTATTAGTTGTAACAAGATTCATTACTGTAAGTAACGTGAGCAAGTAAATCACAGTACAGCGAGCTCCTGTTGGATCATGGGCCACGACTTGGGCGGCAGCATGGCCATGATCCAATAATTACCACCAGCATCCTTACCTAGGATGTTCACCCCCGTCGCCGCACCGACCTGCCTCGACCTGCCCGAGCCCAGCGGCCTGAGGTTGAGCCCATGATAATACACAGGCCTTCCCGACCCAAACTTTGGCTGCCCAAACGATTTCCCCTTCCGGACCACAGCCGGGCTAAAGTCCACAGCGGCGAAGAACTTGGCCTTGCTCCAGTTGGAGCAAGTAATCATCATACTGTCGGGCCTCATGGCACCGATCCGCCTGCCCGCTGCCGTCCGCTCCCGAAACACGCGCAGCAGCCCGCGCACCTGGCCCTCTGTCGTCTGCGCCGCCAGAAATGCCCTGTACCGCCCAGCAATCGCCCCCAGCGGCGCATGCTGGGCATCACGGGCGGTGAGGTGCGCCCAGCAGGCAAAGATGAAGTTGCCAATGTAGACGGCCCGCTCGGGCGGCTGGAACACGGCGGGCAGGCGGCCGCGGAGCTCAAAGAACTGGACAAAGGTGATGCTGCGGTGCGAGGAGCCGGGCGACAGGCTGCGGGCGGCCATGCGCGTTATCCAGGCGGTGAGGATGTCGTTGTCTGTGAGGTAGACGTTCTGCGGGTGCCAGTCGTAGATGATGTTGCTCGAGGTCACGGCCGCCAGGTCTGCCTTGGCGGACTCCCGGAGCCTGGCGAGGGAGGAGGCCGGGAGGTAGATCATGTGCTGCTCGGACGGGCCCAGGCGGATGGCGTCCCAGATCATGGTCAGCACGAAGCGGAACCAGCCGAACCCGCTCATGATGTTGTCCTTGAGAGCCCACTTTTCTTCGTACTTGTGCAAGGGCCCCGTGCCGACGTCAGCGATGGGATCCTCGTGCACGCCGAGGAGAGGGACCACATCGTCTTCCCTGCCCGAGAGGATCTTGACCCAGTTGTCGACGATGGCCTGCAGGCCGAGCAGGTCACACATGGTGTGTGGGAACGTCAGCGAGACCAGCGTGGCGTCGCTGAAGGAAACGACGTGTAGTCCGAGCTGGGACACGTCACGGGCCAGGAAGTCTCCCAGGCATCGTGGTGCGTCCTCGGGCGCAGCCAGTGTCTCGAATTGGTCTGCTCCTTCTTGTATCGATCCGCTTGTGGTTGGTGTTGGCAGTTGAACCGCGAGTGGGTGTTCTGCGATAGCCATGTCTATTATCTCGTGCGAGAAACGAACGGCAGGCCTTTTGGGTGTGAATTCAGCGGGAATATGGATCTCAAGTTGACCATTCCCCTAGATGAAACTCTCATTGTTAGTCTTTGAAGTTTCCTGCGTATGTATTGAACACTTTCACAAGAATTGAAAACCCATCAAAAAAACCACGGGCCTCTGAACTCACATTCTTCCTCAATCTCCCACCAAGCTTCCTCCAGTCACCAATCTCCAGCAACCGAACCAAGGCAACATGCAGCTTGTCGGCGTCGAGGATGTCGTCGAACCGCAATGTCCAGCCGATGATGATGTCGCGAATCTGTGGGCGTGAGTCGAAGTCGTACATGGGAATAACCTCATCCGTCGGCACGCGGGCTGGCCGCTGGGGCTCCCTCCACCCGAAAAGGCTCTTGAAGAAGTCGAGGGCCATGGTGATGAATGCCGATACTAATTATTCGATTTCAAATGCCTACTCTGTCCGTCAAGCAGCTGGAAGCTCACAGATGACTGAATAGTATTCTTGAGCTCCTAGACATGTCAGGTTTCCGATATTCTCTTGAATGAAGGGGTGGAAACAAAAATGAAAACGAGAGCTTTCTCACAATAAACCAACAACTATATGAATCCATGTTTCTCGGTTGCAGCCCTCATCTCTATGTTGAAGTATATCATTTCGATCCACGTAATGCAGGGGGGGGGGGGGTTCCCTTTCGGACCCCGAGACTGGCCTCCATGAGAGGATCACCCAGCCGAGTCACACACAGTCCCATTCCCTCCATGTGATCGCATAAGTAAAACCGAGTCTTTAAAATTGGATAGACAAAGTGAAAGGGCCCGCCTTCGCTCTTGGGGTGTGAGTGAGACAGGAACCTGCAGTGAAAGCTACGCCAAATCTGGGAGGAGGCTTGAGGGCGTGGAGGCGAGCGAGGTCGGGCTCCGGGATTTGATGCCACCGTTACAAAAAAGTGCCCGCAGCGATCGACGTGGAGCTCGGAATGTTCTAAAGGGGTTCCATGCTTTAGAAGTGCCGTGCCGTCGTAAAGTCTGATCCTTCTTGAACTCTATCTGTACTGGTTATTATTTCCATGACTACTCAGTGAGAGGGGCCTTTGGTGAATAGACCAGCAACGACAAGAACTATGCATTGTGAGGATCCTTGTGAAGTACAAGTGTGTAATATCTTGCCTCTGAAGTTTGTCCCATATATGGAACGCTGCTTGGGTGAAATGGCTTAGTTGGCTGTGATTCGATGTGTAGCTAAAAGATGAATATACTAAGTAGCTAAACTAGAGGCTTGCCTCTCATATGCAATAAAAGTGGGCATTGCACTGCTCAAGTTTTGAAGACTAGAACCTCGTTTTTTCCACTCCTTTTTTCTCTTCTTCCCATTTTTGATCCTGGGCTGTAAGACACCGAGGCCACAGCACCTCTATGAGTTTATTCAACTCACACAGCAGGTGGTCGACACAGACTCAGGTAGGTGGGATTTACAGCTCCTGCTCCTCGCCCTGGCCAGTACTGAGGCTCAGAGGTCCCTTTTTCACCATGATGCTCATGATCTCATAGAGGGCGTCGGCAGCCGCCATGGTGGTGTGCTCGGCGTTTGTGTCGTACGCAGGCTGAGACGAAGGGTTAGTTTTCTCTCCTACATCCAGAAAAGGAAAAGGGAAAAGGACAAGAAAGAGGGAAAACTTACAGCAACCTCCACAACATCGGCAGCAATGAGGTTCAGCCCGTCCAAACCTCTGAGAATGGTCCTCAACTCACGAGTCGACCAGCCACCCGTCTCAGGAGTGCCGGTGGCGGGGGCAACTAGATAAACCCAAGTTAGTAAGCAGAGCTCTCATCTTTTTGTTTCATTTGCCCCTCGATAGACTCTCTCTCTCTCTCTCTCTCTCTCTCTCTCTCTCTCTCTCTCTCTCTCTCTCTCTCTCTCTCTCTCTTTGTTCATGCACCGGATGACTTACAGGCTGGATCCAAGGTATCAATATCCAAGCTCAGGTAAACAGGCTCCGTCTCCCCAACCCTCTCCCGGATCTTCTTGATAATACCGTCCGTGCCGATGGTGTCAATCTCCCGCGCCTCAACGATCTCGAAGCCGCAGTAGCCATCGTTCTCATAGTCCGAGGGACCACTGAGCGTGGTGCGGATACCAGCATGGATGTTGGAGTCGTTGGCCAGCAGGCCCTCCTGTGCGGCGTGGTAGAAGTAGGTACCATGGTTAATACTGGCCACCTCGGACGGAGAACCGCCAAAGACCTTGGGACGCCCTAAGGTTTGGGTAGTGTGAGTAAAAACATTGAAAAGTAGAACAAATATACAAATGGACACACTTACAGGTGTCGAGATGGCTGTCAAAGTGGATAACCCGCACAGGGCCGTAGGCACGGTTGATAGACCTCAGCAGAGGCAAGGTGATGGTGTGGTCACCGCCGAGGGTGATGACCCGGGGCAGTGTCTTGCCCTTCTTCGCGGGGCCGACCTTGTGCGCGTCGGTGGCCGGCTCGCGGGAGAGGATGCTGTAGTGGCCTTCCTCGATCTGGTGCAGGGCCCAGCTGTTGTCGTACGAAGTCACGGGGATGTCACCACAGTCCAGCACGGTGGCCCAGCTGTTGAACGGGTTGGTGTCCAGGGGCACATTGTATCCTCCACTGAAGGGCAGCTCTGGGTCAGAACAAAGAAGGTGGAAGAATTGAAGAGATGGGTCACGATCTAGAGTCTTGGGAAGGTTATAGGGACCAACTCACTAGAGGTTCAGCCTTCGTGAGCCCTGACGGATACCCGAGGGGCCAAAGCGGGCACCTGGACGGTAGGAGGTGCCGGTATCAAAGGGGGCACCGATGAAGGCAATATCGTACTTGGCGTCACTGCTGGGTGACAGGCATTGCGAATAGGGCAGACGGCCAAAGGTCGAGATGCCGGAGAATACGGAGTCGGCCTGAAATATTATAGAGAGATAGTTTCAGCCAAACGTCCAACCAACCAGACTCTTTCAGTCCTGTCGCGTCCAATACGCCACACATAAGGGAGAAACCCACCTGAGTGCCACCATCACCTGGCAGAGAGCTGTACCAAAGTGACTGGTGAGGGCCAGAGATAGGACTCTGACGGCCGTGGTCGCCATGGCCAGCCACCAAGGCCGCCCAGAGCAGGGCAAGTGAGGTTTTCGAGAGCATCGCCACGCACAATTATTTTCCTTTCCTCAAAAAGACAGGATTTTTATCAGGTACAAGCCAACGGAATGATTTGATCAACGAGGGTCCAAGAAGGAGGAGGGAGAAGAGGAGGAGCAGAAGTAGGAGGAGGAAAAGCTTGGCCTCCCGACCTTGCAACTTAATTATATAACTCTAGAGAAAGCACACCCCCCGCCCCCGGCCAGCCCAACAGATAGCTACAAGATGATCCCAGACTTCCCACGTTGTGACGATCGATGGGTCCAGGGGGGGCGGGAAGGAGGGGGAGGGAGGGGAAGAAAAGAGAGCGTGCTGTCATCGGGCAGCTTATCACCACCATATCCAGGGGGGAAAGTGACCACTCAGGATGACCAATTGGGCAATTCTTGACTAAGTACAGCGGTGTAAGCAGAACCAGGGCAACGAGAGCAAAAAAAAAAAAAACCAATCGCCGCGCCCAGCCCGCCCTTGGAAAGTAGATCCCGAAGCTGGTCCGTCCTGGGACATGTTGAGCCGTTGTCGGATACAGTACGCGTTAGAGTGTTAGAAGCTACTCAGTTATTACTAGCTGAGAAGTGGCGGGGTGGAAAAGCCCGCCGCCCAGATGCGGGGCAGTCGAGATAATGCGACGGGACGTTGATAATGAATTGCCGGCGACCATGCAAGCTTGACAGTGACAGGTGTTTATTGTGGGCAGCAAAAAGAGCAATGCTTCTTGTGGGTGTGTAAAGTGGGCGTTGTGTGGGCATTGAGTGTCCTTAATTGTCCCTCAATAGGACCCTGACAGCAGCTGTAGAGATGGCCGAGAGATAAAGGTCATTGGCAGTTGGCCAAGTAATTACTTGAAGTTGAAACACACAATCTTGGGCCTCGGTTCCATATCTTTCTTTGGCGTCGATCTAACGTACGACAACGACGGACTGTCTCGCCAGGAGAATAGCTCTTCCTCCTCAGCAGATAAAACAAAAAAGTGTATGACGTCTATGATAAGGCTCGACGGGGAACAGACGTTGTCGAGGAGCTCCTGACAGGACAGGGGCTATCCATAAGCTTATAAAACTAAGGCCCCCCCCCCCCATGTCCCACTTCGGCAGGCCTGTCCGGCACTTTACGAACGGGGTCTGGAGTGAATTGCAATCGAGAGAGAGGACGAACACTCGGCAATACTATCCTATCCTGGAACGTGACCGTGGCCGAAAGCCACATGTCCAAGATTCATGCGCTCTTCAATAAACGCCGTGGGCTTTTGCCCTCGGATGTGTGGATCCGGTCCGGGATCCGGCACGGGGCGGGATGAACGGGAGCCGGTGATGCTCCACTTCACCGGTTGCTTGTCTGGCACCCAAATGATCTTGCTATGCAGATTGTCTTGCAGTAGAAATGCACAGGCCACTTCATCTGCTAGGGTTGGGTGTGGTGTAACTGTGGATCAAGTATTACGCACTCTGTTGACGACGGGTGCGGTAGAGATTACAAGCAGTGAGTGGCCTTGCATGTGGAATGAGTGAGCATGATCTTCTTTCAAGGCCTTGGCCCAACAAGTGAGATGCTTCAGCCATCGTTGCTGAAAAGACAGTTGTGCTCTCGTCTCTGGACAAGAAACTGAGTTATTCTGGAGTAGTACAGATTATCAGTATAGTGACCATCAAATTTAGGTCATGTGTCCCATATACTAGCACATGCAATTTCTAAGATTCATTCAACTGCCCTTCAGTTGCCAGCCGTAAACATGCCTGTGTAGACAGATAGCTTCACAGTGGCATAGTTAAGTGGTTGACAGATAAGTAAGGGTTAGGGTTCTGAGGGTAGTGCGCAATACCCAGAAACTGATACCATGCAAACACTCCTTCGACTGCATTGCGACATGAAGTCAGTTCCTTCACACACTTGAAACTTGCAAAGGGACCAGCACAGCCTTCATGTATACCTCAGTCCATAGGCCAGCGTGCTTCCAAAGAATACGAATGGGGTCGCGAGCAGGGGAAGCTCTGAGCCCCAAGCCATCCGACAATACTCAGCTGGCCGGCCATCTTGGTCGGCAAGGTATGGTAAAAAACAAAGATTCATGGAGGCAAACAATGGCACACGAGAGGACTGTCAGGTTGTGATGATATTTGGATGGGTAGGAGTGGACGGAAATTTGCGGGCCGTTGCGTAGAGAAGCAGTCGAGCATCTTCTTCGGTTGATGCTGGGAGATCTCCAGCAGCGCCCACCAGATGAGTGTCCCATTCGCATTTGTGTTTGGGGGGGGGGGGCTTGGTAGGTGGCTTCCAAGCTACTATGGTTACATATGCAGGTCTTGAAAAACTGGGCTGCAAAAGGTGGGCTCTCGTCGCTGATTTGCTCTGGTGAGACTGGCCAAGATGCAGGGAGGATCCGTTTCCGTGGCTTATGCTCAACCTAGGGCGGCCAACAGCCGCCGAGCGTTCGTCTCCTGAATGCCTTCTGTGGGGTGAGGGGCTAAGATCTCTATTTTTTCATCATCTTAATGAGGCACTTCATTGCGTCCTGTGGCTCAGCAGATTTCGAACTTGTCTTGAACGTCAAGGTGGAGAGAAGAGAAGACGAATGGTCTGTAGTAGAGTCAACAAAGTATGTCTGGACTGGAGGCATCTTGGAGCCTGGCCAAGCTGCATGAAGCTGCAGGGAGATGCAGAAGCGTCGAACGCGTAGAGAGGGAGAAACTGGGGGGAGGGGGAGGATGCAGACCCAGTGAAGCATGAGCATGGGGCCTGGAGCATGGACAGGCGCATGGACCGGCTGCATGTGTGGGTAACAGCAGCTGACCTGGACCCCCTCTTCGAGCAACTGCGAGCGAGAACCTCAACCTATCTCGGCCTCTTGAAGCAGACAGGTGGCGGAATCGAGGTTGGCGATAATGCTGCAAATGACAACAACAAAGAATGGTCAGGAATGCAGACGTGAGCAGAGGAAGCGTATATTGGAATGCTGGCTGGTCGATCTTGTTGGTGGATGGCCCAAGCTCCCTTCCACCTCACGTTCTAGAACACCCTCCAGCCCATCCTTCTCAAGCATTCATTCTGCATAAAACAGTCTCTTTGGAAAGGATCATATTGTTAGGGACAACACTCACCCACATACTCACCCACGCCTTTTTGAAACACGCCGACACGGGGCCTACATACACCATGTGGACGGTGTTATCCCCCCCCCCCCCCCTCTCTTTCAGGTAATCGAACTTGGACATGTGGTCTTGGATCTTGGTCTTGATCAGTTCAAGTTTGGAAGAGATGGGTTAGGTGTCATCGGTCATCCATCGTCATCAACCCTGCAGCAATCCCAGCCCACCCTCTCCAGCCCATTGTAGGTCCCCTATAGGGGGGGTCCCTTGCCAAACTCGAGTACTAAGGTGTGGGCCAGGTTTTTGTCAGTGGCCATAGTACTGTACAGAAAGGCAGGAGCAGGTGTGTGACCTCAACCTTGACGTGAGTTAGTGGGACCGTAGCTCCGCCTTGACCCCAAGTCCCTCCTCCAAGCAATTCTGCATTTGCCTTCCCCCACCACCAGCAGATGCCCCCCCAGGCTGGCATCCTCTCGTTTCTTCTCTCGTCCCTCCAATCTACCACAATGTCAAAGTCATAGCAGCTACCACTGCTGTGCTGTGTGTACCTGTAGTCACTCTCCACTCCTCCTCCAATCGGCACTTTTCTTTCCATCCGACTCTTTTCATTCTTACCAGCCCCCCAACCACCAGCACCACCTGGTTAATGTTCGTCTGAAGTCATCGCATGTCCACCACAATGCTGATGCTAAGCTTCTGAGAGGAAGGAAGGAGGAATAAAAACTGATCCTCTACCAACCCCCAACGCGTCGCAAGCACTGCTCAGCTTAACCCGTCTGACGTACGGCAGCCTGCAGCCTTGTCTTGGGGGGACTCGAGCCAAATTCCGGCTTCTCTCCCCTGTCGTGTGCATCCGGCCTCGCGCATTGTCAGCCATGCTCAGTTCTGTCATCCCATCTTCATTGGTCTGCACCTTCAACCTGGTGAATCCCTGATTGGCGAACTACCTCGATCTCGACCTCCTACCTCCCTTTCCTCCTGCGCCCGCGTTTCATCAGCAGAACTACCTCCATTTTGTCCCGCGATACCATCGCCCGCCACCCCACCCATATTCCTCGTGGTCGAAGCCCATAGGCAGTCTGCGCGAAGCCCCGTCTGGAGGAGACTCTGACCTGCATTCGTGTGTGCCTTGAAGCGCTTTTACCCACTGACTACACCGTTTGGACCTTTGGCATTGTGCCTCTCTCACAACAGAGTCGCACCGGCTCGTTAACCGCCTGGCACAGCATCCATAGACTGCATACCTTACCACTCAGTACCCTGGCTGGCTTTGCTTGTTTCTCGTCGTCCCCCCCCCCCCCTCTCTATTACTGAACGTCACGTTCCATTTCATCTTTTGAACGACCAAGTATCTTTTCCCAGCCCCTCCTCTTGTCCAATATGCACGCACGGGGTCCAACCACCACCCCCCGATTCGAGAAATAGAACGACAAGCGATCCAGTCACAGCTGACTTGGATGCGCCTGGGACCCGTCTGGCCCGCGCATACAATGGCTGGTCCGGCCGAACCCTCGCCGCCTCTGAGCACCATGGCAGTGCCCGACGTCGAATATATTGTTCCTCGACATGATTCTCAGAATGTTCTCGACGACAGTTCTGCGAGCCCGCGCGCCTTGAGAAAACACAAGCCTCTGCCCCGGGCCAGAAACGGAAGCTTGACTGGGAGTTCGTCTGGCACGCCAGACTCGAGAGGGTCTAGCTCTGGGTCACAAAGGTATGCATGCATTGTAGTTCCTATTTGAATCCTCTTCCTGTCTGAGAACGGGTCTGGCTCACACGTGGCAAGTCTTCATACACTGAGGCATCAACGGCGCAAGATCAGCGGGGGTGAGCTGCCACCTACCCCTCCGGCGCACTCCAGAACCTCGTCCGGCAGCCATTCCGTCAACATCTCGAACCTGAGCCCCCTTCAGACGCCAGCACAGAGCTCCGAGGACGTGCTGTCCAACACAAGCCCGACAACTCCCCCGAATCAACGAAGCCCGCCCACGCCCGAGGTGACCCCTCCGAGACCAAAAACCCGGGGCCGGATATCGATTTTGCGACCAACCCTCTACGACAGAGTCCCCTCTAAGAGCACAACAGACTCTCGGGCCGAGTCCTTCAAAACTGCACTAGAAAGCCCCGAGCAGTCGGATGAGGAGGACAACAGATCGACACTGCGTCCCGCCGCATCGTCAGCAGGAGCTTCGCGGACCGCACTCGATCAGGTCAACGGTTCTCACAAGAAGGCGTACACAGGAACAGATTCAGGCTCAGGTGCCGGACCGAGTCCTCTGGGCGAGTTTGATGATCTGACTCCCACACCAAAGGGCGATTTCAACAGCTTTGACGGGGAGTGGCTGGCCAGCAGCGAGGTAGAACAGGAGTGGGATGACAACCTTGCCAGGCATGTGACCGTGAGGAAAAGGCGGCAGGAGAAACCAGTTCAAGAGGAAAGGCGCGAGGTTCTGGACGATCTTACACCAACGAATGCCACCAAGACCACGCGTTCTGTCCCTCTGCAGGGTCGTGTCTTGACCTACGACGCCCGTGAGCCTCCCAGGAGCTTCACAGCACCCCAAGCCGCAATTACGGGTCCAGCCACCGCCGGTGGGGATACCAGGAGGCTGTCAGGAATGTCTTCGAGGTCAGCAACATCTACCATCGTAGAGGCCATCCTGGTCGAGACGACGACCCCTCGTCGTCACAAAACCCTACGCCACGTCAAGCGCATAGACGCCCTGCGCGACTCCGTGTGGCAGCCCTCGCCCCTCAGCTCCGTGCCAAGCCTTCAAGAGAATGTGGCTCGCCGGCGGCCAGCATATCAAGCTCCGCGCGACAGTTATGCGTCAACCTCGACAACCAACTCTGTGTCCAGCCGCAAAACTCGGCGGGAGGTCTGGAAGAACGGAGGCGTACCAGTAGCCGTCGTGCCCCATCGTCAGTCGTCAAATAGGTCCAACAGCCGTGATCGCTCACCTCGATCTGCCAGCAGTCAGAGATCCAAACAAAGCCAAAGTGTCACCTCCATCCCTCTCTCGCAGGCCCCAACGCAACCTGATACGACAGCCTACCTTGACAGACCGTCGAGACGGACCCGGCGATCTTCAGAGTCAGATGGCTCGGTGCAGGGCGACCAACGTGTTATCAAGGATCCACCTCCTGTGCTTCGGAGGACCTCGTCGTCGTCAGCATCCACCAGCCGGAATGGCTCAAGGGGGGCGTCGCGCAATGATTCTCGCGCAGGATCTTTGACGTCAGAGAGCCTGCAAGCACATAATGAGTCTGTCGCCGCGAACGAGACGCCCCGGCCCTCAGATCGTGCACCAGCAGAACCACCAAAGAGCCACCTGGAGCCACCTGTGCCGCGATTGGCGGAGCATTCTGTTGCGTCTCACGATTATTTTGTGCCGGCTCATGGACAGCTGGGGTCTATTGGCAACCACGGAGACACAGATGATCGCCGCCATACTGTCGATACGCAAGTCGGGAGTCCTCTGTTATCAACGCTGGCGACACCATTTTCTCAGACTTCAGTGGAAACAGCTTTGACCGCAGCCGAGATTTCACAGGCCATGGCCGTGAGACTGATGCCGCATAAGAATCGATCTGTGCTGGTGGTTGATCTTCGGCCGTCAGATAGCTTCGACGGAGAACGTCGGACTCGAGAGATGGAAAGGCCGCAGAGACCAATCATCACTACCACCGAGGTCGATGGCGTCACGGAAGAGCAACCTGTCACCCCTCCCCAGGCATATCCTCCCCTCTCTCTGAACGAAGTCGACTCCCCGCTGCGGAATCCACGTGCTCCACCGGAGCCGCCTGTTCTTCATTTCATTCCAGCCACGCCCTCGGGGCTTACACCCGCAGAGGAGAAGCCCAGGCTGCTAGGCAATTTCTATGAGGAGACCAAGGAGAAGCCTTCCCGAGGTCTTGCCATGGTACGGCGGGCTCTGGGCCAAAGAAGGCACTCATCTTCTGGTCCGTCATCAAGTCGTGAAGTGCGGCCGAATTTCCTGACTCGACGGTTGTCTTTGAACAAAACCATCCGAAAGGAGAGCGCCGAGGACCCGGAGCTGGATCATGATGACGATGCAATGCTGGATGGCGAGCCCAAAGACGAATCTCGGCTTCACCCAGACTGGCGGCCGAGTCATTACCCGGGCTTCTACGAGGGCGACGGCGACGGGGTCTATAATACGGACAACAACGAGGAGGAAGTGGTGATGAGGTATCCAATGATCGACAACCGCCCGCGTCCTCCCAAACGGAGCCTCAGCCAGCGTATGAAACGCACTTTTGCGATCATGCCCCTCCAGGATGATGACGGCCTTTATGGTGGCGAAGACGGGCCGGACCGCCGAACGGTCAGAAGATCCCCCAGCGGAAATCTGCGCGTGGTCAGGCACGGAGACAGCATGGGCTCCCTGCGCAAGCCGCAGAGACATCGCGAAGATACTGATCTGGAGAACCGCCGCGTACCTTTCTTCCCTCGATCGTACAACCTGACCAAGGGCTTTCGCGGCCGCCGGCACAGCGAAGAGGACTTGCAGAGCAATGGCTTGAGGCGGACGTGGTCTTTGACTCAGAGCGTACAGGGCATTCCCAGGCGGTTCAGCGAGAAGAGGCGCGAGAAGCGGAGCGATGAGCTGCGGCAGAAAATCAGTGGGCCACGGGACGTCCGCGATGGCGTGGACGACGTGATCCGACGCGACGGCCTTCGCGAGGCATTCAATCACCCACGAAGAGCCGAGGATGTCACGTGCGGCAGGATCTAAATGCGTTTGGTATGGTTTTGACGATTGGATGGAGTTCCTTTCCTGGTCTCATGACACAACGACGACACTCATGAGGTTGGCGGTCCAGAGATGGACTTTTATGACCTCAACTCTGAACGACGAGTTCAGCTTATGACCCACTACATTCTTTTGACGAATGATGACCACGAGTATCTCACTATACTCTCTATCCAACACGCGCGACATCTTTTCGCATTGTGTAACTACATTGATGGCGGGAAAGATTGCACCAGGTTGGATATGCGAGGCGTTTAGGGTTTTTCGATGTTTCCTTTTGCTTTTTTACGATGTATGATTTCAACGACTCTGGGTACCAAGCAGGGAGGGAGAAGTCGCTATTGTTTCTCATGAGTTCTGGCGTGTTTCTTTTTATCTCTCACGTTTCTTCTGCTTTTTTTTTTTTTTTTTTTTCTCTCTGTCTTTCCGACACGTATGGACCGGGGCGATACAGAAAAGAATTTTGCCATCTTGACCTTTTGCGTCTGAAACTCGGGAAGAAGGGGGGAAACTTTGATGAACGAGGGCACTTATTGGCTTGCATATTGTCGACTGTGTGTGTTGGGAGACGTAACGATATGAGATGATGATGATGGGGAATACGTAGTAGTATTTAGGAGGTCTTGTATATTCCGAGGTAGCTTCATGTACCTGTTATGGTGAGCGCGCTTGATATCGAATGGCTTTTGCATGGTCCCGAGAACCGTCTCCTTCTATTGACTTCGCTGTCTGAGACTCTCGTCAAGTGAGGCAAATGTGCCGGTACCAGATGCCGCCTCCCAGGAGTAAACCGATTCGCCTTTGGCCATAGCTCAATACTGTCCACGTTAGCCCCAGCTCTTCGCCAAATGGGCATGATCTCTTCTCTGGTGGCGGATATGCTCTCTTATCTTCTTTCTTTAATTCTGCGCCTTGACGTGAATGGAATGTCCAGTCTCGGCCATTGTCCCAACCCCCAACTTTTGGTATATATCTCGACATGGCCCCAACGCCGTACGCCGTGAAACATACATATACACAGAGAGACACACCCCGTACCCCGGGCCAAGGATATGCGCAACACAACCATCTCCTAACCCCTATAGGCGGATGTCGACCTCTCTAGACCAATCCATCCATCCTCCACAGATGAGGCGCCGAACACGGCCCTTTTCTCTCTCTCCCTCATCTCCTGTCCCCACCAGGAGGCCCGCCAGCATTGAATGGAGGAGGGATGCCAGGGAATCCGCTCGGCGACGGAAGGAAATTTGGAGGGATGCCGCCCTGTGGAGGAGGGAAGGGCAAGCCGCCCGGGGCACCTGGGGGCGGGGGAGGGAAAGGAAGGCCGCCTGCGCTTCCGGGCGGCGGGATCGGGAGGGGCGGGGTGTTCGTCGAGCCACCTGGGGGACCGCCAGCCGCAGCTGCGGTGTTGAGAGGTGGTGGGAAGGGGGGAGGGATGTGGAAATTGGAGCCTGGCCGTGGAGGAGCTAGAGATGTGTGAAGAAAGAAGTGATATCTTGTTAGCTTGGGGATGATGTTGCTTGTATGCTCTTGTGTCTGGTTTTTTTTCTTCTTTTCTTTTTCCTTCATGCACGCTCGCACAGACAAACACGGATGGCTACAGGGAGGATTGCAAGAACTTACGAATCGCAGGAAAGCCACCTGGAGGACCACCAGGAGCACCACCGGGAGGACCAGGCATGCCCGGGAAGCCAGGCGGCGGAACACCACCGGGGAAAGCAAAGGGTGGCATGCCGGCAGGAGGAGGGGGGAACGCGCCTGCACCGCCCATCCCGCCGGCTGCACCAGGCTGGTTCTGGGGAAGCATGGGGTTGTTGTGGGCGAGGCCCTCGGCGGCGTACGAGGAGGTGATGGAGTCGATGACGGACTGGGCCTTCTCGTGACCGATCTGCTGGTAGTAGTCGATGACGTTGCGGAGGTGGTTGCGGCCGCTGTTGTGGGCCTTGCGCACGCTCATGCTGTCGTGCGTGAGGTAGACATCGCAGTAGTCGCAGAAGACTGTTTTGATCTTATGGTGAGAAGGGGGTTCTGGTTTGAGATTTGCGGTGGTGGTGGTCTATAGGAGGGGGGAGGAGGAGGAGGAGGAGATGGCGGAGGAGAGGAAGGCAGGGAAGGAGGAGGACCAGAGAGGTATGGAGGATTGGAAGAGTCAACTTACACTTGGGCATCTTGACTGACTGCGCTGTTCTGAGATCTACTAGATGACAAGAAACAGAAATGATGCGTGTATCGTCGCCTGGGTGGTTTGGCGTCGCGAATGTTTGGAGGAGGATGTCTCGAAAGAGGTCCAAAAAGAACTGGGGTTCTTTCAGTTGACCTTCGCCTGGGAGCAAGGCTGGAGGGGGACCTGGAGCAAGGCTAAGCTAGCCGCTACAGGGGGGTTATGGCGGGAACAAGGTGGCCAGGGATTTAGCCTGCCGCGGGCTTTTTCGGGGTGTATTGGGTGGGAACATGCACAGAAGCTACCCCCGGCACAGACAAACAGTAGCAACTAGCCCCTAGCCCATTCTCAGCTAAGGACACCTTCGGGTTCGCAGGCGGCCATTGTAGCAAAGTAGTAGCAAAGGGTAAACACCACACACTCTCTCTCTCCCTTCCTCACGATCAGCCGGCCTAACAGAGCCAACCCTCCCAAAAACCACACACCGACACGAGCCACCCTCCAATTTCCGAATCATGGCCTTGCCACGCTCCTTGCTGCAGTACATCTGCAGCCTGGTGTTGTTCGTTGCGTGTGCCCAGGCCCTTAAGTTTGACCTGCAGGCCACATCGCAATCACATGACAGCAAGAAGGAGAGGTGTATCCGGAACTTTGTTGCCAAGGACACGCTGGTGGTGGTCACAGCGATTGTGAGCGGTACAAAGGGCGATGGCATGCGTGTGAACATGCATGTGAGTAATATCCTTTTTCTCTTGCGCAAGAAGACCCGGGGGATTTGGGGGGGGGGGGGGGCAATGCAATTTACCTATCTGGTCTTGCGCGCACCTGCTTGAACAAGGAGAAGCGAGACGGAAAGATGAAGAGAGATGATGAGTGTAATTGATTGACTGACTGGTTGCTCGTCTTTCTTCTGCCAATATACAGATTAGAGATGCGGTAGGAAACGAGTACGGAAGACCACAGGATGTCGTTGGCGAGCAGAGGACAGTGTTCACATCGCATGCGGATGCGGCGTTTGACGTCTGCTTCGAGAACCTCTTGACAGGATGTATGTCTTGACCACAGCTTCCCAATTCCCCCCCCCCCCTTCCCCTACCATACAGACAGACCATAGCTAACCCTCTCCCCTTCTCTTATCCTCCCATAGCCCGACAGATCAACGATCCAAACCGTCACATCGAGCTTGATATCGACATCGGTGCCGACGCCAAGGATTGGTCCGCGATCCAGGCCACGGAGAAGCTCAAGCCCGTGGAGGCGGACCTGCGGCGCATGGAGGAGATGGTGGGCGAGATCGTCAGCGAGATGGACTACCTGCGCACGCGCGAGCAGAAGCTACGCGACACCAATGAGAGCACCAACAACCGCGTCAAGTGGTTCGGCTTCACCACCACCTTTCTTCTGATCGGCCTCTGGGTGTGGCAGATTCTGTACTTGCGAGCATACTTCAGGTAAGTCCGGACTCCTCCACCAACCACACTCCCCCCCCCCCCTTCAGGCTCTTGTGTGTGCTGACCATTTTTCCTCCCCACGGTACAGATCCAAGCATCTCATCTAGTTCTAGCGCGAGAGAGAGCGTGTATATGAGTGGAAACAGAGAGAAAGGAAGAGAAGCTATCATCTTGTGTTTTGTTTTCACCGTCAGTGGGCACGGTGGGCATGGGTGACATGGTCGAGAATGATGTGCAGTTCATGACCATCCGGAGTTCAAGAGGCTAAAATTCGCTTGGCTTGTGCGGAAGATGCGCTTGAAAACTGGGGGGGGGGGTTTGGTTGGGAAACTTCTCGGGATTGCGTGTACGCTTTTTCAGGTCTGCAATGAGCACTCGATCGATGATGAGACGTAAAGAAAGAAAGAGTTCACACAAACTTGGAAATGGTTAAAAGAAAGAAGGCCAGGTGAGCAGAGAGCGCAGGCCATCGTAAGTTAAAGGAGACAGAAAGGAAGAGAACGGGAGCACAGCGTGGCATAATGTTTGTCTGCAGACTTGCCGAGTCTGTCTATGGATTTGTATTTTGGCCAGCAGCAGCAGCAGCAGTGGTCACCCACCCTCCCTTTGGCAATATTGAGTGTGTATTTGTGTATATATATATATAAACAAAAACAGAAAGAGGCACTGGCCAGTGCCGTATCGTCCAAGCCAAGAAGCCTCCACCGAATATACTGCATCCCTGCAGCCCAGACAAACCTGACGACGGTCCATGCGCCGCCCCCGATGCCGAGATCGAGACACGCCAGGCGGGATCCCACAGCCGGGACTTACACTATTAGTAAATACCTGACCTCGGTAATCTATGACGGAACCAAATGGACCCTTTTAAGAAATTCTTACCTTCCGGGCCACTGGGCAACTACTTTACCCACCAACAGCAAATCAACACCCACCAATTGGAAACAATTCACCTTTTCTCCTCCCTCCGCTGTTCTTCTTTAACGTCGAGAAAACGAGATACAGTCTATAACAGTCCCTCAACATGAATCCTCTCCAGCGCGCAGTCCGCCCCTCCACCGTCCGGCGCATCCTCAATGCCAACCTCGTGCCCCTCGCCAACACCACTACCACGCCAGCACGATGGCAGAGGAACAGCAGCAGCAGTAACAACCATGGCGCGCCATACGATCCCGTGTCACAAGGCGAGCTGGGTGTTGGCGAGCTCGAGGGCGCAAAGTTCAAGATCGAACCTCTGCGGCGGACTGGCGAGGACGCCGAGACCATGCGCGCAAGATTGACATGTGAGGTCTACCCCCCCCCCTCCTCCCACCCGTCTTGGACCTAGGGTTTGGGGAAGGCGAGAGAGAAAGATAAAGAACAAGAAATGGCTGACAAGAAAAAAATTCGCTTTTCAATATACAGACCAGTCCCGCAAGCGCGGCACCCTCGAGTCCGACCTCCTCCTCTCCACCTTCGCCGCCGCCCACCTGCCCAGCATGACCCTCGCCCAGATGCGCCAGTACGACCTCTTCCTCGACGAGAACGACTGGGACATCTACTACTGGGCCACCCAACCCACCACCGCCCCTTCCTCTTCTTCTTCCTCCTCCTCCTCCTCCTCCTCCTCCTCCGCCACCAACACCCCGGCCGCCGGCCTGCAGAATTCCGAACCCTACCTAGGCACCCAGGGCGCCGCGGAGGAGGTGCAAGGAGGAGACAGCGCTGCGGATTCCACAGCAGCAGCAGGAACAACAGTGAAGGGCCCCGCGGGCCCCGCAAAGGGCGAGTGGGCGCAGACGGTGGGGACCTTCAAGCCCGCCTTCCGGCCTGTGCCTGCGCGGTGGAAGGACAGTGAGATCCTCGGCCTGCTGCGGGCGCACGTGAAGACGCGGAGCGCGGCGGGCGTGCTGGGGAACCGGCGGGAGAGAGAGACGGCCGAGGGCATGGCTTTTATGCCGCCGCTGGGGGCGAGAAAGTAAATAGACGGAAGGAGGGGGGTTTGGTTCTCAGATGTTCTTACAGAGCGTGCTGGATCTTCTGGATTGCGACACAACTTTGATGATGTGTGTGTGTTTTGGTAGGGACATATTCGACAAATCAGCCGGCCATTGGGACAGGTTGGGACTGGGGAAAACAAACAGAAAACACAAAGGCATATATCGTATCATGGGATCTCTTCGTGTTCGGAGAATTGTTAGATAGGACTATCACGTCCAAGCATTGTTTTGTCATTTCTTCCGTTGACGGGGTATCCAGGGGCAGGTATATACTACAGACGCAGCAAAGTAGTAGACCTAATCACTCGGCTTCCCTCACACACCAGACCATCCCTGGAGGTCCCTCCCCCCCTTTTCCATGCTCCGCGTTGCTTCCAAATGCAGGTATATATCCTGATGAGCTTGACTGTGAGAGCCATGGCCGGGGCCTTACTTCTCACGAGACCTTCTACCCAAGCACTTTGTCATATCCGTCGTCACAATCATTCCGAACCAGCTCCTGCTTCTCAAATAAACAAAACGCTGAGATTGGAGACGCGTCGCCTTTCCAAATGTGTGGATGCAACAGGCACGAAAGCCAGCTCGGATTTGTAAAGGGCTGATGTCACCCGCCGTTCTCGGGTAGGATCCTCCCCAAGCTCCTCAGCACTTCCATCACAGGCATCTCCTTCGTCCCTGCAGCCTCCTTTTCCTTCTCTTCCCGCTCCTTGAGCCTCTGAGAACCAAGAGCCAGTACCTTATCCGCTTGCTTCCCTGCCGTCATTACCCTCATGTTCATCTTATGTATGCTGTCCGCGAGATCATCCACTTTGAACTCGACGACAGACTGGATCTCTTGAAGGCGTGACCTTGTGGTGGACTTGAGATGTGCAAAAGATGATGACGACTCCGTTAGAGACTCGAGTATCTTGGCTTCCTCGGTATCGAGAAGCGAGGACTCGGGTAAAGGCGGCGCCTTCTTCAGGTCGACATCTGGTGGGTATAGCGGCGGTACTTGGGGCAAAAGTGTCTGAAGTGCTCGCCACGATTTGCGCGCCTCTTTTAACCTGCAGACTCGTAAGCTACCTTCATTACATGTTTCAAGCCATAGGCGGGATTATGACCAACCGTTTTATCCGGGCTTCTAACGCAGCAATTTTTTGCTCGTGTTCCACGTTGACGGGATTGGGCCTGATCACCACTGGCCTCTTCGCTTTAGCCGCAGCAGAGGGCTCATCATCTTCTCTGCTGAACCAGTCGGAGAACTCCGATTTCGACCCAAAGTCTTTGAGCAGCTGGTCCTCGATCGCACGAGCTGTATCACCACCACTCTTAGCTTAGTTCACTCGAGACAACAGGATTCCTGGTCTAGAAAGATTACTCACCTCCCAAAACAGCATTGGCCCCAGTGGTTCCGTGCTTGGGCTTCTCACTAAGAGCCCTCTCACCACACCATGTGAGCAACTGCTTCATTCGCCGCGGCTCACTAAGACCTTCTGCCTCGATGTGCTTGAAAAACTCAGACGGGTCGACCTCCCGGTGCGGAATAGCGCTGTGCCCGCTCTCGATCAGAGAGCTCGCCCGCCGCCCGCGCATGCTCATACTGCTCCTCCTCCCACCCCCCGCTCCCGCGCCTCCTTTCTTACGGAACTCTTTATTGCGGTTGTTAATGGGCGTGTCGGAGAACGGGAGCGCTATCTTTGTCACGTTCGAGTCCTTGTCGACGTTCTCAGGGGTTGCTTGGACGTCATGCTCGTCGTCTTCCTCGATCCGTTCGGGCTGCTTTTTGCGCGATGTTTTGCGGCTGGTCTTCTTAACCCCTCCATCTTTCGTCGGCTTGGTCCCGTTCGTCTGGCTGACAGTTCGTGGTTCCTCAATCTGCACCTCATCAGCGAGATCCGCCGTAGAACTCCTCGTCCTTCGCATAGGTCGCTTCTTAGACGCATCTAGTGTTTTATCCTGCGTAGGCGGTGACGAGTCAAGTTTCCTGCGCTGTGGTCTTTTCGATGTGGTCACCGGAGCAGCCTCTTCCTGTTGCTGCTGCTGCTGCGGCGGCGGCGGCGGCGGCGGCGATGCGGCGCGTTTCTTTCCCGTGATCGGCCTTCCCCTTGGCTTTTTCACCACAGGCGCGGGTGCAGGTTCCGGTTCTGGCGCAGGCGGAGGTGGCCCTTTGACTGATGATGTCTTCTCCTTTCCCGTTTTTTGCCTCTTCGAACCGCGCGTAAACAAAAAGTCACCATCTTGCTCGTCGTACGTTGCCGCCGCTACAAAGTCGCAAGCCGATGTCAGTCTCCATCGCAAACTTGGATTAGCACATTCCTGTAGGCCTGTTTCTGTACATACCAGCAAGGCGTTTGCTCTTTCGGCGCGACTCAGACTGGTTGCTCATGCTCAATGCTTGTAGGGGTTGGCGGAGCTGTACGACGGTCGTCATTGATAAGTCGTCTCACGAGGGCGCGCGCACGCATTCGAGTCTGACGAGTGGGAGAGGGGGGTTCGAAGTGCGCTACTCCTCCTCGCTACAAGAACAGGAGCAGCTTGGCGGTCGTCGCGTGCCGTTCTCGTTGTTAGCCGATCGGCTGGTCCGTTGCTGGACAAAACACCAGCACGACAAGACAGCAACCTGCCCCTCGCGCCAGCTGCACCCAAGACGCGTCGAACTTGGCGGAGTGGGCCTCGAAATCTGTAGCATGCAGAGGCGGGTTGCTTTTGCGCGTGAATACGTTTTCTAATTGATGCTGAGAATCGCTCACGAGGGGGTCGTGTTTTTTTGCTTCGAGCCTGGGCGCAAGAAGTCGTTGTTGTTTAGGCACGTTGAGGAAAAAGGCGGAGCCCGTCACTGAGAGTCGAAGCAGGTGCTTGCTTGGCTTTGCTTGCCGCGAGAATTGGGGGAGCCCTTGTCTCCCGCGGCCAATTTGTTTACTGAGAGGAACCACGCTAGTCCCTATCGGGGTGGGCATAGCCATTGAGTGCCAGCACTCGAACCCACCTCAACACCATTCACTCTTCGTCACGGCCACTCTTGACAAATTTGGGAGGGGGAAAGAAAAAGGAAAGACAAGAATTTTTAAGAGGTGTAACGAACCACTATTAAGGCCAAAACTTCTTCAGACATAAGTCAGTCAGTACATTTGTGGGGTGTTTACAGCCTTCTAGTTGATTGTCTTCGTCATACAGTAAACAACCAAGGTCAAATTAACCCACCTCCGTACATGGCAATTCAGTGTACGTAGTCAATTCTCATTAAAACAAGCAAAACGATCAGATTCAAAGGTAGATACTCGATTATGTAGTGCTACAAACAAGATAAAACTCACCCCTTGGGACAGACATGCATTCCCTCTAGCGTTGATACGGCATCCTCAGGAACCCCCGATTCGGATTTATGCCTTGCCATCCACTTCGGTGCATCCGTAGCAGTGAACTAGAGAGACTGCACTGAAACGCGCCATCTGAACGAGATCGCGAATTGTGTCTCTCCGTCGTGACCAGTACTGGAAAAATCCAGTCACAATATCCCCAATGACTCCACAACACGGCGCCCCCCCCCCCCCCAGACTCCCACAAAGACCAGTCCAAAACGCCCAAGTTTTTGCCGTATATATGCTCTGATACCGTTTGGAAAAGAAAAGAAAAATACTCCTTGTTTTCCTTGACCCCCTCCCCCATATTGATGACCATAATGTGTACAACCAAAGTTTGAAATCTTAAGTCATGAGCGATGCCACGGGACAATTATTGTACATCCATCAGCCAGTATTCCCATGGCGGGAGCTTGACTGGTCCCAACGGTGCGGCGGCATGACCTTTGCCGGGTCAACAGTATCGTCTTGCTCAGAAAAAGGGCCGGGTTGGCCGTCCTAGGAATAACGCCGGTCGCCTCCCTGAGCGGTAATCATCTGGTGGCTGGACATGGGCGCGCCCATCCCGTAAGGCATTTGTGCGTTGTACGCATCCATACCTGCGATGTAAGGCTGCGGCATACCGCCTTGCGATTGCGTGACGGGACAGTCCTTGTGTGCAAGGAGCAATGTCTTCAGATTGACAACCTCCTCACGAAGCGCAGAAATCTGTTGCGACAATGAGTCGTTCTCTTGTTGGTAGACATCGACCTTGTTTTGCAGATTGGCTAGCCACTGCTTCTTGCGCTGACGACACTTCAGCGCAGCAACCCTATCAAGGAGTCAGTATTTTTTTTCTTCTTTTTCGTTTAGCGGACAAGACCTGTGCTACTCACCGATTGCGCTCCAAAAAGTTCTTGCGCTTCTCTTCCTCAGTCATCTTGTGCTTTGGCTTATCTGAGCCATTCTCGTCGTGGCCGTCCTCGTCGCCCATATCCTCGGATCCATTTGACGAGACAACGCTGCCAGCGGTCTTTGGCTTCTTGCTCGCAGGCGCCTTGACCGGGGGCTCTTCAGCCTTTCGTCTGCCGTTGGTCGTCGGGGCACCAGCAGCTGAGCCACGTTTACCTTTACCGCGTGTGTTTGGTCGAGCGTGCTCGCTGCCCTCGGATTGCTCGCTCGCGGCTTCACTGACGCCACGCAGGTTCCCACCGCCACGGGGCGCGTTGCCATTCACGTGGGCATCGGGATGCTGCACAGCCGGGGCGGGATGACCGTGGCTGGGTGGTTGCGGTGGCAAGGGATACTGACTCTGCTGTGGGACACCATTACGGCCCTGCGCCAGCAAAAACAAACCGTTGGCGGCATCACTGTCGTGGTTGTCAAAAGCGGCGGACTTCATCTCATTCTTGACAGTAGAAGCACCATTCATCTCCTGGGGCTGCGAGGTGGCAGGCAGTTGTTGGCCTGGATGATCCCGCTGCTCGGCCGCAGCTCTCAACGCAGTTCGATGGAAGTCGACCGTGCCGGGTGTCACCCCACCCGCTCCGAGATTAAACAGCGCAGCCGTGTTTGGGCTGGGAACACCAGTAGGAAACATAGAACCACTGCCTCCAGGGGTCAGACCAGTCCTGAGTGAGGACTCATTGGGTGTCGGGAAGCCGCCACGGCTAAACTGGTCACTAAAGTAATCGGCCTGAGGTGCTGACAACATGGCTGGACTAAGAGGGCCGGTCCTCAGGGAACCACCGCCCCAGTTGAACGGCGTAGTGCCGGTACCTGGCAGTAGCGAGGAGGGCGATGTGATGGAGGCAACGGGAGGCAGCTTGGTACCTCCAGGAGTCTCCGGGGCGGCGTTGGCAGCCAGGGACGGGTCACCGCTACCACCGAAAGACCTCTCGAAAGGATTTGGTTCTTGGTTCAGCGACGCAGCATTCGGTAGGGTGAAGTAGTCGGCGGAGGTATCCTTCGCCTGGCCGGGTCGAGGGGGAGGCGCGAGAGGTTTGGTGGCGACGTCGGCGGCTTCTGTCTTCGCGACGATCTCTGACTGCTCCTTATTGGCGGAGTCGGCATCTGCAGGTGCGAGCGGTTGAGTGTTGGCCTGATGTTTGTTTTGGTGGTTTGGAATTGATGACACCAAGGGTACATGCAACGGCAAAAGGGGAATGTATTACTAACCAGGTCGGGGCGCCGCAGCATTGATGGTTTTGGGCGACTGTTTGGTGTCGCTATCGCGAGCCATTGTGACTGGTGGTACGAGCTTAAGGGATGAGAAGGTGGGAGGTAGAAGACGATGACGAAATGGTGCGGGTTGGACGTTGACGTAGGAATGGGGTGTGTTGACTCGCTGGAGAAGCCCAAAGTTTATGGGGGGTCTCGTAGTGTCAGCGATCGAATTCCCCCTTTGCGGGAAACTGCGGAAAAAAAGAACAAAAAGAAAAGAAAAAAACACAGGCAGCGTGGCACAATAGCGATGTGGCAGCAAAAAGTCAATCAATCACGAACTGAACGTGGCGTTGACTCAAAAACGTCCGTCCAAACAGCCTTTGAGTGATGGTCTGGCTAGACGGTGACGACAGAATGTCGGGGGTACGGGTGTTGCGATATGCAGTTGCAGTGGTGCCGTGAGCCTCGATGGAGAGAGTTGAGAGGAAGAAGGAAAAAAACAAGACGTCACGGATTTTGGGGCGATGACGTGGTGTGGGCGGTGGGTGGAATAAATGGGACAAGCCTGACAAGCCCACCCAGAATCTCAGATAGCAGGCACTAACAGCTCGTAGGCAAGATTCAGACGGAGTCACGCTAACACCTCGGTTGAGGAGACGGCACCCTAGCGTCGTACTTACCCCTTGACGGACGAGGCAAAGGTAGAGTGACAAGACAAGTACCGCGGCAGGTGATCCATGTCCTTGACAGCCCAGGAAGAAAAAAAGTTCTTTTCTCATTACAAAGCAGAGATCAGGTGGAGGAAAGGGATATGTCCATTCGCAGGACTGCTTGCATTTATGGATTTTGTTAAAAGTTTCATCAGCATGGGGATGAACATCAGGCTGATTTACTTGTGATATGAGATCTTGTCTTCTATCTAATGATCAACCTCTCACTATTCTGGGCGTGCGTAAAGGGAGAAAAGGGGCAAGACGAGATAGAATATGGCCGGCATACTATGTTACCGCAGTGTCGCCCTTACCGACAAGTGCCAGCAGTCAGTCGAAAGAGTCAGTTAGTTAGTCACCTTTGTCTGAGACCAATCGCATCCATTCCTGTGCCTGCAGAATTTGGTATTTCCTTTCAGGTTTCTAGAAATCTGGTGGCGCGCTGGAGATCAGCCCTCGTTCAAGAGTGGCTGCTTGGAGAAAAGGCTGCGTAAAGTAGTCCTAACCCTCCGTTTTGTGCGTCAAAGTATAGGTACAAGGTCATGTACCCAGACAGTACGAATCACGTCGCAGTCATAACCCCATACGTCTCTGATGTACTCAGGCAAACGGGCCCCATAAACCCCCCCCCCTTCTCTCTTCTTCCCCTCCCGATAATAAATTCCATCAGCCAGACGCAGGCATCCATCGATCCGTCATTCTCTCCTACTTCGAGTGAGTTGTCCGTCCGCCAACCATGTCTTGGTCGCATGACAGATGCGCGAGACCGTTCGAGACCCGTGGCCATTGAGCAGGCGCGCAGGCGCGTCCATCAATCAACGGCGGGCATCCCCCAGCTGATGGATCTTACAGATCAAGGCAAAGGCTGGCCGATCGTCGATGGGCCAGAACTTGGCGCCGTAGGACAATATAGGACCCCCCAGCCCGTACATAGGAGAGGATTACCGCACCGGGGCACTACCTTACAGTCTGCCGGGCTGGTCGAACACGAACAGCCAAGATGGCAGGATGGATGGCAGACCGTTCTGGTATGTCCCGTAGTGAGGAGACCGTGGTATGCTCCGGAACTCTTGGGCCGGCCTGGTTCTTCCCTCATCGAATGATTCGACAGAGCAACCCCACTTTCTGCATCTCACTCCAGCCAACCCAGAGCCTAGCTTGCTCGCGAAGGTACTGCGCAAATTGCGCTAGACGCTAAGACCAGCACGTCTGCGACCTTCCCAGCAGGGGGATCGAGATGACCTGAGGTGATTCTGTCTCCATTTTGTTGAATCTCTCCTCTACCTAAGAACGAACTCTTTGTTTCGCGCTCACTCAATAACCAACCCACTCCCCGTCCCGTTCATCTTGGTTGTCAATGAGGCGTTTCGCGCAATTTCGTTTGTCCTATTTTGGTTGCTGGCTGCGACCTCTTCCTTTTGATGCCTGGATTCGAAGGAAGTTGCGCTGATGTATATGTGAACATTCTTCGATGGTCTTTGATCTCTTGATTTCTTTAGATTCTAGACCACATGTATGTGAGCGTGGTTGAGCACAAAAAATCCATCCGAGATGGAAGGAGGAATGTACTATGGTACACAAAGCCCAAATTCAACCTCGCACTGTATGGAAACTTCCCGAAGCCACATACGCCCGCATCCCTGACTATGACGCAAGCAGTTTCCTACACCCCTGCTCTTCTTGTGCGTATCATCCAAAGTTTAGGGGGGGAGGGGGCGCTAGAATTTTTAGGGGATGAGCCTTCACCCTCAAAGCAGCCACGCCAGAGCAGGCTTTTTCTTGCGATGCACAACGGAAGAGGAAATGGGTCAGAGACATACTAACGGGCTGGGCTCGTTTTGACAGCTCGGGACCTTAGGGCACAGATCTGTAGATTAGCGACTTCATGGAACCCAGTTCTCCGCCTTCGACCTTTTTGAGGTTTCAAGTGGCGGTAGAGACACCGAGAAGGAATGAGGCTATTCACACCGGTCAGCTCCGTGTCTCAATAGTAGTACTGGTCGGGCTGGGCCTCGCGGTGATAGAACGTGGGCCAGAACTGCCTTGCTCTGTACACGAATCCTGCCAGGGTTTCGAGCCATGCTGTAGTCCGGGGAGGCCGAGTAGAAGGTGCTTGAAGAACGTCTAGAATGGGATGGAGACGTCCACTTCCTCGACGTGACTACAGCGGGTGGGTGGTCTTGACAGAGTCTGTCACCCTGTCCAAAACCAACCTCGAGTTCGAACAACTCATCGCCAAGCTGTAGGGCTCAGCCCGTGGAGACAACCTGTGGCCAGCATAGTACAGCATCCAGCCATCCAATGCGTCTCCAAAGATCTGTAGGGCTGAGAGGCAGGTCACACTTGAATCAGAGACCTTTGAAAGAAAGGGCCGAGTAGACGCGAAACGACGCGCTTTCTAGGGTCGACGCACGTGGGAGCCCAGTTGGATTCGCGACGTCATCGCCAGAGCCACATTGCGGCTCTGTTTCTAAGTTGCATGCAGCGCAATTTAGATCCCGTCTCGGACATGTCAGAACCGAGCGGAAATTGTGGGCTGCCTGCTTCCATCATCGTCACGTTTGATGACAACTCAAGGAGGCTGGCTGCATTTGAGCGTCAAGACCACGCATACAATGAAGCAACGGCGGGTTTTTTTCTTTTTGTTTTTTTCTTTTCTTTCTTGCGCCAGCTTGTAATGTTGTCAACCCCAAAGCCATTGCTTGTGGCAGCGATAATAAGCCTAGGAAGGTGGGGGAAGGGGGAACAGTCGCTGGACAGCTTGGCAACGACTCAGATCTAGTCGCCCAGGCGCATTCAGAAATGGACAACTCTCCCGAATTCTTAGTCAACGTGCCTACTGCTGCTCATCGTCTAACAACACATCTCTCGATGCAATACTAAGCATGGAGACAAATCTTATCAGGAAACTACAAGTAAGCCAGACCGCCAACCATGCAGCGGTGAGCGGTTGCTACTCATGCCGTCGGCCCCCTGATTCAAACGAGTCAACCGTAGACCTCACAGGCGAGCAGCCTGGCCCTCTTTCGCAATCCTGAAGCCATGTCTGGGTGCATGAACCCTGATGGCAGGTGAGCCTTGTACCTCAGCCCTAGTCTCGAAAACCACCTCCTTCTCGTCCAAACCAATCAGGACCCCCGAGTCTTTGTGTGTCATGCCGCTGTCTGTCGGGAACACCACAACGCGGTCACCCTTGGAAAGACCTAATGCCTGGACGATAGGGTCCCCTCCTTGGACCTGTCCGTCCTCGTCGAGAAATGGAGAGCTCAAGATAGCCTGCGTGGCCTCGGCGCCTGCAATGGTAGGGACCTTTCCCAGCCTCGCCGCAGCTGCAGAGACGGCCTTGTCAAACCTCTCGATCCATGCAAACACCCTGGGGAACTGCCTCTCGGACAGCTGGTCCGGCGGCAGCGCGACACGCATCCCCCAAAGCCAGTGCAACGGCCAGACAGCCTCGATGTCCGCCAGGCTCGGCCCGTCCGTCTTCAACAGCCACTCCCGCCCGTCCACGAGCAGCGCCGTCTCCAACAGCTCAAACACCCCGCGCAAATTGGCGACGGCTTCTGCCCTGGCCTCTGCCGGCGCGGCGCCGAAGTTTCTACCACCCACAAAGTCCGACCGGTCCTTGAGCCAGGCCTTGTCTTTGAACAGGGGCATCTGTGGCGGGATGAGCGTCGCCGCCCAAAGGAACGGGCCTGCGTCGACCATGAGGGCTTCGAGCAGGCGCTCGATGGCGCGGTGGTCGCCGGCTGCGGCCCCGAGCTTTGGCGCGGGGGCGGGGAGGGTCTCGAGTTTCTGGAGGATGAGGCGGGTGTCGAGGTACACGTCTCGGCCAATGGCGAGGATGGGAATCCGGCGATATTTGATTCCGAGTGCTGCGACGTCCGGACGTGGCATCATATTCGGTTGTTCCTGCGGGGCTGTTTAGCAGGTAGGTCATGGTGAAGAAGAAGAAAAGAATGAAGAAAGCTGCTTGTGACGTTCTGGTTCTTGCCACGCACTGTCTGCTTGTATGGTATGCCACGAAGTTGCAGATACCACTCGATCCTCTTCGCATAGGGGGAGAATTTGTATCGGTATAGGATGATGGGGTGCTCTGACGACATGATGGGCTGTTGTTTGGGCAATCCACAGGACGAGTTCGAATACGTTCGTTGAGTCGAGTCTGTCCCGGCTGTAGCTAACTTTGACAAAGTAGGAGCTCGCAAGTCTCGGTATGTTCCAAGGAAGATATCGCGTTGTAATTGCTTCTCAGAAACACGGTCCGGGGAAACGTGTGGGTTCGGACGCTTTCACGGAGCTAGTCTTCGAAAACAACACACTGCGACAGGATGACCACTCTCGAGTATTTTACTCGAAACGTCCGTTCATCTAGGCTCAGACGTAATGGTTTGATTGAAATTCCATGACGGAGATCAATTGTTTGCAAGAAAATAAGGTAGTCCTAGGGGCCCTTCCTGCGGCACGGCACCTTCCTCTCTCCTCAAGAGATGCCTCGGCATGATATCACGGCTTAGAAGGAGAGGCGCGCGTTAGCTCGTGGAGTTACCTTAACAAGCAACAACTATGCATATGCAGTAGCTCTCGATATAGCGACAGCGATGATCTCGAATGCCATCGTCTACACCCTGGTATGTTGTCAAAGGAATCAAATTATAAACACAAGAATAAGAAAAAGCACCATATTTGTGCTGTGGTTAAAGCGCTTGTCTACCCCTTTCAAGAGCGAACCATTTGCACTGGTCAATTGCCTGTCCTCCAGCGCGGCCCTCCCCCAAAACATGCCTCTACCGCGTCCCCACCCCCGCAGCAGATCTAGCTGCTAAGTTCCCGCTGCCCTGCCCGCATTTTCCCCCTCTCTGCAGCAACCAATCCTCTTTCGTGGTCGTCGTCGGCCAAATCTCAGCCGCGCGACGACAGAGAGCAGCATCGCGGACGAGCTCTACCATACACACGCTCTCTCTCATCCTCGTCACATCTCTGAAGATGAAATAGGTTTCTCTGTTCTCCTTCTTCTTTCTTTCAACCGTACACATCAGAACGGCAACCTGCATTTCATGACAGTGTTGCGTTCCATCTGCCACGAAGTGTGTCGTGGATGGACACAGTTCGCGCTGCTTGGGGCACTCGGACACGTCCGCCTGAGGTTGTATGGAGCGCGAACTTCTCCCGTGTCTTGCGGGAACCCATCAGATGCCAGATGTAATGTGTGCTGCGTGGACTTTGCGACCGAGCACGAGAAGAGATGGAGCATGGGACAACACCAGCAGCCGACATGGCGGTAGGTATTTGTGATCCACCCTACCTTTCCGTCTCAAGTGAGCTCAGGTAGGAAGGAAATTGAGGTGCATGTTGTTTTACGTCAGGCTACTATATAACCTTCCTTTCCATGGCTTACTTGTTCTCTGTGCTTGCCGATGATGAGACCATTGTTACCTTCAACCTAGAGTCATAACACCTTCATTGGCGACGATGACATGGTTCAGGATTTTATAGACTACAACGGTCTGAGGCAGCTGGATGTATCACTCCACCCCCCCCCCCCTCCCCGGCTTTCTCAAACCCAGTGTTGCCCAACTTTCTCCTTTCAATTTCGCTCCTTGTCGTTCCTGATGGTCCTGGCTGGGCATGTAAAAAGAGTCTCCAGAGGATCAGACAGCAGCAGCAGCACACAAGCCTGGTCTTCATTCTTGTGATGCTATTGAGGCTGTCTGAAATCTATATCCACCCAGAGCATATTACAGTCCAGGTCTCAACTCGAAGTGACAACTTCTTGTGATTCACCTAGTAGTGAAGTGGCCAGTGATGGAGATTAAACATGTAAGCAGATATGCTCGGCACGAAGGGGCTCTTCTCTAGCGCTTCATCGTGATGCAAGTTATAATACCGTTTTTGGAGATCCTTGGGGATGCTTGGATCCCATATTATATCGTTTGACCAGGCAGAACGGCCATTATTACTACATATGCATATGTACGTGTCTGTATATGAAACAGGTATACACATATAGAAATGGAAGAAATCGGCGTCATTCAGCTCTCGCAACAACTGCGGATGCTTACTTGCCGGTGTACTTCCTCTCCAGATACCTCGCAGGCACATAGACCACCAGCGTGAAGACCAGCGCCAGCTGGTTACCGATATCACCGCCATAGTCGCCAATCTTAGCGGCCAGGGCGCCGACGTACCAGGTCTCGCTCATACCGACAACGCAACCGGCGATACCAGCGGCAAAAGCAAAGCCGCCGGCCCAGCCAAAAGGCAGGCGGGAGGGGTCGTTCCAGGCCTCAAGATCATAGCCCTGAAAGCCGGAGGCGCCGCCGCGGTAGAGGTAGTGCTCGACGAAGAGGATAACGAAGAAGCTAGTGTTCCAGTAGCCGAGCAGGGAGAGGAAGTTCTGGAGGAAGGTGAGGAGCTTGTCGCGCCCGACGAGGGCGAGCAGGATAATGAGGACGAACATGACGGCGGTCCAGACGAAGCGGGGCACGACGGAGAGGGGGCGGGCGAACTGCTGGACGGAGAGGCCGGCCGAGTAGAGGGCGATGGCGTTCATGGCGATGCCGGAGAAGGCAAGGAGGACGAGGAGAAACTTGGCAAAGCCGACCGGGTGCACCATGGTCTGGATGAAGAAGCCGATGCCGGTATCCCAAGCGTCCAACCAGTCGGTTTTGTAGTTGAGGGCAGAGCCGCAGAGGGCGCCGAGGATCATGCCAAGGCAGGTGGGGAGGCCTAAGGAAAACTGGTAGTCAGTCGACGCTGTACGGTCTTCTTTCTTACCAGTGCTTCTTGGAGGTTCGAAGCACAAGGGAGGAGGGGGTTCTCCATTGTGGACATACCAATTCCAAGGGTGGTGTAGACAAACACCTTGACCTTGCTCGTGTTCACGGGGTACTCGACATAGTAATCACTGACGATGGAGCACCACGAGGCAGACGAGCCGTACAGGACGGCAAAGAGGGTGAGCGACATGCCGGAGAGGGTGGCGCCGGTGACGGTGGGCGGGGTGCTAACGTCTGCAAAGTGGCCGGCATAGCCGTACATGATGACCATGATGACGGCGATGATCATGCCGGCAAACTTCTCGTAGGTGAAGACGGCCTTGAGACCGACAAAAGAGACGATAAAGCCGCACACGGCAGCGATGATGACGCCCAGCTCGGAGCCTAGGGTGCCGTCCGACACGGCAGACAGGGCCTGGCCGCCGGTGATGCAGCCGACCGAGGACCAGCCGATCTGCTCAATCACGTTGAGCAGGGCAATCACCTTGGAGGGCCACCAGCCCATAGAGTAGCGGGAGATGGAGACCTGACGGAGGCCTGTGCCAGGACCCATTGTCGCGCACCAGCCCTGTTGCAAGCAATTATCTCTGAGTCAGCCACGCATGTCTCTTGATAAGACAAAAAAAATACAACAGGCAGACCAATCAGTAAGATGGCAACCCACAGTGACGGCGCTTCCGATCAGCGAGCTGAAGATGATAATGACAATACTCCTCCACAGGTCCAGGCCCAGCTCCCAGCCCAGGAAGCCGGTGGTGAAGCAACTCAGGTTGGTGGTGGCGCTCATCCACATGAGGAACATGACGGCCTGGTTGGAGAAGCTGGCGTAGTTGGGATCACGGTCCTCGGGGCGGCGGCGCTCGATGCCGTGCGTCTCGACGCCGATCTTGCGGTCCATGGCATCCTCCCAGCCACGGAGGGTGGCGAGGATCCCACTGCCGCCGCGACTCGGTCGAGACGAGACATCGTCGTCGCCGGAGCCGTAGGGCGAGGTGGCGATCTTGGACTCGACGGGGTGCTTCTCTTCGTCCTGCATCTTGCTGGGGGTGTGTTGAGAGACACACAGAGAGAGAGAGAGAATGAGAGGGGGGAGGAGGGGATCTCTTCTTCGACCAAAAGAAGAAGAGAGGGGAAGGGGTAAGAAAGTCAGAAGAGGGGGGAGGGGAGGAGAAGAAGGTGTTCAAGAGTAAAGAGGAGAGAAGTCAACACTCTAGCGCTTTGTGGGCTGTGAGGCGATATCTTCAGTTTAACTCATCTGGTGGCGCCGAGAGAGGGGCCGGGGTCGTTATCTTGGAGGGGAGGTAAAATAATCCCGTAACCCTTCGCACGAAATTGGGTTCGAAACGAGGACAAGATGAAAGGGTCTCTCTACCGACCAAGAAGTTAAAAGAAGAAGAGCAATAAAAGAATGAAGCTTTTTGAGGGTCACGCGGTCATCATCTCACTTTCAAATTGCAGTGATAACCGCAAAATACCTTTTAAGGCATTGTCTATTACTTGAAAAGTACTACAGTATGTTATCGAAAAAAAGGGTCTCGACCCTTTCCGGCTTCAACAGAAAAACTATCCTGTTGCCGAATTTTTTTTTTCTTTTTTTCTTACTTGCCCTCCCCTAAGGAATACTAACTAAGTTATCGCCTTATCGAGAGCAGGGAGCACCGTTACCACCACACCACTCACCCTACCGAGCACTAAAATAGGTCAAGGGTATCACCGAGGCACAACCCATTCGTGCCTTCCAGGACTGTTCAAAAACCAAAAACCAAAAACCAAAACAAGTATCCACCCAACAAGCCTCGCCAGCAGGGATAAGCGCAGCTGTCCAGTGTCGACGGCGCCTTGGCTATTGTACAGAACTGGCAGCTGCCCGCGTGGCCCCATGCTGCGGTACCTTATCTTTATGGGAATGTGGGAAAGCAGCATTCCTTCCCGCAGCGAGAGGGATACACGCCCCTCTACCCCTCTGCTTCTCTTCCCCTTGTGCCACTGATAAGCGGCCCGCTAGCGACATTCTAGAAGATCGATGGGGAGGTTGGGGTCCAGGCTCGTGCCTGCTGCGCCGTGCCTGGGCTGCATCGGCGGTACCGCAAAAAGAGGCACTGACTGGTTAGCACTAACCCCATACTTTTCCATTTACGGATTATCCGGGGGGTTAGGGGATTCAATCTCTTCCACTTGTTTGTCACAATTGTGCGTGCGGCAGAGAACATACTATATTGTATGCTTGAAAGTGAAAGAAGAAGGCACCCAATTTGTACATGTACGATAGTAATGCCACGTCGACATGATGGTCGCCCACCAACCAACTATCTTGATAGACGACCCAGCTACATACGAGCCGCCGACACCAAGAGCAACGTACGTGGGAGGGGAAACAAAGCCTTGACGAAAACAAGAGAGGTACTGAGATCGCCCCCATGAGAGATCGTCGTACCAGCACGGTTGGTCAAACTCCCAACACGGTGCTTCTCAGGTATGACCCGTTGTCGCGTGTCACCGTCGCCGCACTGGTGGTAACATGGAGCGAGGAGAGGCATACATGGAGAGATGGATGCCTCTCCACTCTCAATCTCATGAAGCCAGGACCTGGACTGAAGCAGCCATGAGAGAACTCCCAGTTCTCCTCCTTTGGGACGCCTGCCACCAGGCCAGCGCCCCAGCCACACCCACAACAACAGCAGACATCACACACTCAGGCCTCGAACAGTCCAAGGAGAAGGTTGTACGAGGTGGGGAGCCAAGCCAACCGCAACGACGTGCCATGAGAGGCCACCTCCAAGCGAATGAATGGCTCTCCAACGGTGCCCCTGCCCCGTGTGCGATGGAAGTATGCGATGGAGAGGGTAGGAGCAGTAGAGTAACAGTAGCAGAAACGTTGCATTACCCTGTGACACTATCGTGGCTCTGCCCCTTTCATACATAGCCTGTCCCGAGACACGGCGTGTGCTCTCGACGCGCCCGGCCAAGTTGCTTGATTATGTTTCGGGAGCAGGAAGCCAAGCAGCTCTCCCCCGCACGGTGTCGTACAACCGCCGCCTCTCCCTCTCTCTTCCTTCTTTCGGTATCACCGCACGACAGGGAATTCGAGCCCGTAGCGATCGGGAGGGAGAGAATTGGCCCGGCGTCGTGCGAGCCTACGGGGCTTTCGCTGTCTGCTGCTGACCAAGGACCCGGCGAGATTCCTCTCTCATGCCCCAAACCTCATAATCGAGGCATAACGCAAACAGTGAATAACCCCTCAGGTCTCACAACCCTCCCATATGGCTCACCCAAGTGTATTATTTCCTCGCCATGTCAAATATGTATTTGCTGTAGACGTTGAAGTGTGGCGCATCCTTCAGTTGTTACCGTGGTCGCAGTCCTTTTTGTTGTCGTTGTTAAGCCATATCTGCCTCCTGGTTCCGGGTACGTACTCGTAATGTCTCACACGTGCGCTATCCCAAGAACAAACCTCTTCGTCCCCGACTTCTTGTGTCTCACTCCTCGAAATGAAAGGGAAAAAAAAAGAAATTCACCAAAAACAGGGGCACAATCTCTGGATTGTCCAATATCTCTGCCCGTTCCAGAACACAGATGCAGTGTCATGGGGGGAGACCATAACACCAACCCAGACTCGATGATGCTGAGCCAAACAGCAATACTGGTGAGCACGCGTGGCCGACACAAGCGGGCCAGCGCAGACCTTCCTGTCGATAGGAACAGTGCGCGTCCACGTGGTAGGAACGTGACCAGCAGCAATAGACATGCCATGAAATCCCCCTAAAGCCTCGCCAGCCTGGTCTGGAGACCTCGTCCCCCTCAAAAAAAAAAAAAAAAAAAAAAAAAAAGGATGCTTACCCACAGCCTCACCTGGGATAAGTGCCGCGGTGAGCCAGCAGGCCGCAGGCTCTGACCCTGGCCCCCAAAAACACTGACTGACTTGCTTGTCAGACGCAAAGAGTCAAGGGCCTATTCAACGCTGGTTCCTTGGTTCTTCCGGAGCAAATTGCCGAGTTCGTACCTTGAAGGGAAACCAGACTTGGGAACAGCCTTTGCTCCCTGCCAGCTGACAGGATGTCGGCTTGAAGAGGAAAAAGCCATGGGCTGCAGGGGGAAAAGAATGAAAGAAGGAATGGCTCGCGGTCATCCTGTTACAACTTTACCCCCTCTGACGTACAGGAGACAGAGTGATGGCTGTGTGAGCTTGATGACGCTTGTCATCTATACAATGCTACCTATCCAGGCAGGCAGATAGGCAGACAGACAGACGGTGATAACTTGTCTCTTCTTCTTTTTCCTTCTTGAAGAACTGTGTTTCCGAGTTCAAATCATATGTGTACAGAATGGGAAAGAGATGTGCTAACTCAGGACGATCACCACTCATGCCAGGCCAGGCCATGCTCACGGGCCGGTCATGAAACGTCCCAAGAAAAGAAAAGAAAAAGAGATATATTTACAGCGTCCTTTATGGGGGAAGTCTCCAGAGCGGCATGTCTGAAACGTGATTTCCATTAGATGAACTGATGACTGATGATGGTCATCAGTCTCGAAGTGCCACCCCCAAAATGAGGTGTTCCAAGTGGTGGGAACAAAGCCGCCCCCCCAGCTCGCAACGTTCTCCCAGAGGACGGATGGACAGAGCACACACACACACACAAACCCCCCCCCCCCCCCAACGACCCCACGCGGGGTGAGCAAGCGGATAAAGCTGACAATGGCAAGCGACATGACATGCAATCTAACCGGACATGATCCTGCCGACCGCAGCGCATCCTTTTTTTTCTTCTTCCTTTCTGTTTCCCACCCTGGCCTTGTCATGCGAGGAACTATGCACAGTACTACTATATGCTGTGTAGAGCTGAGAAGGTTTGCCGGGAGAAGGGAAGGGGGGTCTGGCGGGTCTCTACCCCGGATTCTGCCCTGACCGATGCTGCTGCAGCTGCAGCTGCATAAGCAGGTTGTCAGTCTGGGTTGGATTGGATGGCTACCGAAATAGAAGCATGCCTCGGGGCGGGATACACATTCATGGTGTGCGCGTGTGGCCTGTTACGGGCACCTGGCAGGATTGGGTCTCCAGACGAGCAACCGTGGTCCGACCTCATCGTCAGCATGTTCAGCCAGTTCTGACGAGGTTCGGTAGATTTATGGTATATCGAAGTACAACTTATTTGGGGGGAGAGTGGGGAGGGGGGGGGGGCGGTTCAAAAAAGTTCATGGGTTTGGAGAAAATAGGTTTGTTTCGCGGCAGAGCGAAGAAGGGGGGGGGGGGGTTGTGTGTTGGTACACCAACTAAAAATGAAGTGAGCTGGCAGAAGCTGGCTGGTTCTGGCTTGCATGGTTCGTTCACCGACGAAAACGTTGGTGTAAGACCAGGCCCGAACCTTACGCGGTGATACCACACCTCTCATTTACGAATCTCGTTAGTGAGAGAGTTGTAATACTCCATGTGGCAGGTAATATATTTGTGTGTCCTACCACAGTATCTCATGTATGTGCGTAAAGGTTTTCCTTCTTTTCGTGTGCTTTTCCGCACCAATAGAAAGAAGAACGTAAGGCAGTCCGAAGCACTGCAGAACAACGGTGAGAGATGGGAGAGGGAAGTCCTAGAAAAAGAACAGAAAAGCTCAGAAGGAAATTGTAAGGCAAGTTGCGCCATGCTGTGTACCGCTCGAGCTTCTTCTTTCTGTTGGTCTGGAATGAGGAAAGAAAGACGACAGGGGGTCCACTGGAGGCTTCTCTTCCCCACGAATGACCAGAATGCCCCTGGCATCCGGGGTGTTGCAGCTGCTGCGGGACCACCCCTCCACCAAGACCCACACTTCAGTGACAAGACCTGGCAGAAGTTTAAAAAAGAAGGAATGAGAGGAGAGAAATAAAAAAGAAAAAGTAAAAAAAAACGAAAAGGAAATTAATAAATAAATAGAATAAGAAACATGGCCAAACATAATCAAGTGTAGTCAGGCAGGGCTGTTCCATCTTGGTTCCTAGATTGGCGAATCCATGCACGCGGTGTGGCCTGGTGTTAAGGCCGACGTTATTCAGCTTGTCTGTCGATCCTAAGGAGGAAAGGAACAAGACGAGGGAGGGGAAAAGGAAGAGTACAGCTAAATTGAGGGATCAGACTTTCAAGATGAGAGAGCCTTAGATCAGACAAGTTAACCAGGGCCACGGAATAGGGCCCCTGTCTTGTCCGTTGTGAGATGATGGGGAGGACGGGATGTTACTGTTGTTGTTGATGTCAGACGGAACAAGGTTTGGGGGGGGGGGGGGATTCATTTCTTAGGCTCCTAGATCACATACAACGCGAAATAAACCTGGCAACCTGGCTGACCTCTTATTT